GTGGGTAAGGAAATGAAGAAAAACAGAGTGATCAAATTCATGAAAGAACCCTGGGCTACTCCTAACGGGGCTACTCATAAAACTTGCTATCCTTTCCAAAAAAAAACGAGACAATTCCAGGAAAAAAATGAAAACATCTAAAAAGTCAAAAAAAAAATCAAAAATCCAAAAAATTAAAAAAAAACTGGAAAAACAGCAAAAAACGTTAAAAAACACGAGAAAAAGAAAGCGGGAGTGAAGCGGGAGCGAAGCGGGAGCGAAACGGCAGGCAAGAAAACCATGGAAAACCGTGAAAAAACATTGAAATCATCGAATCCGCTTCGTTCCCGCTCCGCTCCCGCTCCGCTCCCGCTTCGTTCCGGCTCCGTTCCCGCTTCAAGCCCGTGGAGTCTTAACGCTACCATGATCATTTCAATGTCTAGGTGTCAAGGGTTGTTTTTACTGAAAAATCATCAGAAAATACACGTCGTGTATCAAGGTCAATTTACGCACCAAAAAATTCACCAAGTTGTTGCCACCAAAAAATCACCATGAAACCCTAGGAGTGTTAACGCTACCATGATCATTCCAATATATATATATATATGTGTGTGTGTGTTTTTCTCTGTATTTAGATATTTTTTATATGTGTGTATATCGTTTTTTTTCTCTCTCTCTTTCTCTCTACACAAGAAACTATAATATATATAATATATAGTATATATATATATGACATGGTAAATAACATTATTTACATATAATATCATATACACATCATTTTTTGATTTCTTGGGAATAGTTTTGATCCCAGAACATTTTTTGATCCCTTACCCTGTGTATATGATCATATAGTATCAAATAAAAACAAATATGTATTTATATACAGATATGGATATGCATATTTACAACTCTTTACATGCACGCGCCGATCCTTAAATAAACCTAATCCAACCCTAAAGCAACCGTAGATTAGTTTTAAACATACCCTATTCTACCGACCCCCAAAAAAAAACTTAAACCAAATAGACCCTAAAACAGCCATCAATGAATCTTAAACCAACCCGAAATGGATTCATATTTTGGATAGCTGCTCCAAGTGGCAATCTAGACCCAGCATCAAAGTCGATTTCTGTCTGGAACATTTTTTGTTTGATGCCTTCGAGTGGCGAGCTAGAGCATTTCGATCCCCCCGTTGCGTGATCGAAAAAAATGGATCAAAAAAGAATATCCAACCCACCATTGAAATACATTTCTGTAGGAAATATGTTGTTTTTTTGATACCAGTGTTTTGTCTTTTTGATCCCTCACTCGATTGGGATTGTATCATGACTGGTATCCTTATCCTCTTGTTTTGACTTGGATGCTTGAGGTGCCCCCGTCTTTGCCTGCTGGTGGTGCCAGACATTTGGCTGCATTGAGTGCCAGCATTGTGATGGTAGCACTGCATGTCTTTGTGCCACATGAGAAGGCTCCAGCGCATTCCAACGATTGATGCGCTCAAGGTACTGGCGGAAACATTCAGAGAGGCTTGCAATGGCTGCGTTTGCTTGCCGGTTGCTGTTGACCTCCACAATTCTTGCCACATCTCAGTTAACAGGACTAATCTGAATTGTTGCAGAGTGTGCTTGTGAACAGGCAGCTGGGCACCCTCAGTACCAGAAATTGCAGCAGGTGGGCGTTGACGGCCAAGTCTCCGACAAAGAGCGTATGTGCATAATTATGCCTTTGACATGTAGGCTGTGTTTGGAATGGTGTTCTCACAGCTCACTTGTACGTAGGTATAATGAACACATGTCCACAAATTTCAACATCCTGAGGTGGAGTCTTCGTCAACTGGAGATCGAATTGAAAGGCCTAAGAACATTTGATGCCCCAAAGACGGGCGAAGGGCCTGAAAGCAGTTGAAGCTGGACCATCACCAGCCAAAGGGCCAATGGGCCTTCATGCTTGAAACCTTCACTAAACCTTTCACTGGACAGATTTAAAGATGTAAATATGACCAAGTATGCCCGATTTTGCGCTGTCATTCAAGACCTTCAACTCAGTTTCAAGTGATGAAAAGATACTGCAAACTCAAATTTCAATCAAGCCCAGCAGCGATTTATTTGTCCTCAGTTATTATTTCAAGTTCTTGATGGTTGGCCTTTCACAAAGTAGATTCTAGATGCAAGGACTTCAAGAAAACATGGCAATATGTGGCGATGCAAAGCCTCTCATGAAGTATCACAAAATCACGCTTGGGATTCCACGGCATCCTGGATCAGCGTTCATGTTCTGTCTCATTGCAAATCTGCTGCCACCAAGCTTTACATGGCAAAGCAATAAGCTTCATGTAGTCTGAAGACGTCCACTGCAAGCTACCTTTTCCACCACAAACTTCCTGGCTGCAATGCCTCCAGACCTCCAGATCAAGAACCAACCAAGCAGTTGGAACTTAGGCCTTAAGTGGTCGTGTTGTGAAGGAAAAGCAGTGTGTGTGTGTGTCTGTGTGTGTGTGTCTGTGTGTGTGTGTCTGTGTGTTTGTGTGTATGTTTGTGAGTTTTGGTATCCCATGTAAGGAGGGATGCTTTGATACAAGCACCAGCATATAATGATAAATATGATAAATATGATAAATATGACTCACCAGCAGCACTTACCATTGATGCCACAACGGAAATCCACTGCGCACTCCAACACAGGGGCCTGAGCCTCAATGACTCAATGAAACTGGCTATCAATGCCAGATTCTGTTGGAATAGGCCCTCACAACAAATTTGAAGACGTTGGGACCCTTGTTGTGTTTGCTGGACTTGAGTCAAAGGAAGCATCGTGCATGCGTTTAGGTGGTGAGGTGGATTTGCAATCTATGTTGATTTATATGTATATATACATATATATCATATATATATAATATATGTGTATATATTAATGTATGTATGTATGTATGTATGTATGTATGTATGTAAGTAATGTAAGTATGTATGTATGTATGTATGTAAGTATGTAAGTATGTAAGTATGTAAGTAAGTAATGTATGTAAGTAATGTATGTAAGTAATGTATGTATGTAATGTATGTATGTAATGTATGTATGTAATGTATGTAATGTATGTAATGTATGTATGTATGTATGTATGTAATGTATGTATGTAATGTATGTAATGTATGTAATGTATGTAATGTAATGTAATGTAATGTATGTAATGTATGTATGTATGTATGTATGTATGTAATGTATGTATGTAATGTATGTAATGTATGTAATGTATGTAATGATGTATGTATGTATGTATGTATGTATGTATGTATGTATGGTTATGTATGGTTATGTATGGTATTATGTATGGTTATGTATGGTTATGTATGGTTATGTATGGTTATGTATGGTTATGTATGGTTATGTATGGTTATGTATGGTTATGTATGGTTATGTATGCTTATGTAATGTTATGCAATGTTATGTATTGTTATGCAATGTTATGTATTGTTATGTATTGTTATGTATTGTTATGTATTGTTATGTATTGTTATGTAATGTTATGTAATGTTGTGTAATGTTGTGTAATGTTATGTAATGTTATGTGATGTTATGTAATGTTATGTAATGTTATGTAATGTAATGTTATGTAATGTTATGTAATGTTATGTAATGTTATGTAATGTTATGTAATGTTATGTAGTGTTATGTAATGTTATGTAATGTTGTGTAATGTTGTGTAATGTTATGTAATGTTATGTAATGTTATGTAATGTTATGTAATGTTATGTTATGTTATGTTATGTAACGTAATGTATGTATGTATATATATATATATTGTGTGTGTGTGTTTAGTTGTTTGTTCGTCGGTTCATTTTTTGCAAAAGAAACTTCTGTGTCACTGCTGGATCTTGTCAGGTTTTTGTTTGATCCCTCACTCCTGAAATGAAGGGTGTGTTGCACCCCGGAGTTTACTTTTGGTTCTGCTTCTCTGCTGTTCGGCATTGGGGTTTGCCGCGCATCAGGTCTCTCCGCAGCAGTTTTGCTGGGCATGCATCTGCTTCCTGGGCACACTTTTAGTGGTTCAGGCCACCGGTAAGACACACACAGCTGCGATGGCGAAGTATCAAAGTCTGCAGCCACAATCTTGAGAACCAAATATTTGAATCGCCTGGAAGGTTTGTGTCCTAGTTAGCTTGCTGAGGCGCGTACCGTCGAGATGTTTCAGCTACTGCCGTTGAGGGGTCTTTGCACACTTGCATCAAGTGGACACCAGACACAGATTTACGTGAGATGTTTACACCAGACACAGATTTCCGCAAGATGTTTCCAGCAAACTCTGTGTTTGCCCACCAACATTTGGAGATCACGTACATGCTGATGCTTCACAAACGAACTGCTTCCCTTGTTTACCCATGCAAGAGAAAACATGTTGCAAGACTTCATCTCTGAATTGTCAACTTCCTACAGCAACTCAAAGAAACTCAAATCCCCAGTGCCTTCACCCGTTTTCAGGCGCTTGGCTGAGATTCAGCACCTTGGGGGTGAGCAGGCTTGGCCTCTCTGTGCTGTTTTTCGGTGGTGCAAGTCTCCTTCTAGCAGCTCGCAGAAGTCCGTCATAAAACATTGCGAGCGAAAAGTTCAAGACCAACTTCACGCATGTAAGACCGACCTCCTCGCAACACACCTTTACAACCTTGATGTAGTCACTGTGCCAGTCGGATGTCCACGTGCCAACAGCGTCTAAAGCGGAGCAATGCAATTACAATTAGTTCTGTGACTTCAATGTGCATAATATTCACGTGTCTGGATAGATTAGAGAGACCTCACTGAAATGATAGTTAGTGGGAGTAACTATCCCAAAATCGCCTCAATTCAGGCTACTAATTTAGGTTTGTTTATTTTATGTTATTTTTATAGATTATCAAGATGTGTACACAACACACAGATAGAAAACGTATAATATGCTTGTATGAGCTCGCTTTCAGCATTGTTGCTGCCAGCACAAATGTGGTGAGGGTGTCCCATTCCCAGCAGCTTTGCTATCACCTTTGTTTATGGTGTGGTCCCGTTCTATGGTGATACAACTGCTTACCATTGCTTTGTAAGTACCCAGGTAACCCCCCCTTCCACCCTGGAGTAATAGTCTAGTCGCAGGGACGGGTTTGCAACCCTGGACGATCGTTTAGCTGCGGAGGCAGATCAGTATGCATCTCCAGCCTTGTCACGGGATAGGTGCGCTGTGTTTGGGTTTGCGTGGCCAGACTTGATAGTTCGGCATTGCAATGCGTTGGCATCTTTCCATGCATTGTCGTTGCCATGATGATGTGTTGCGGTTGTGACGGTCGTGGTGGGGTAGTTGTTGATTTGGGCTATGCCGTTTGACTTGTGATTGCAAAGGTCGTTTTCCGATCCCATTGAACCTGCATCGTCAAGTCCTCAAATCTCAGTAGCTTCACACAAGAGGCTGACTAACACGACCCACGCATCACCCTCGTTGTTTCAGCAACCCACTGACTTCCTCACTTGAAACCAGATTCAGTTTGCAAAGAACGCTTGGACTTGAGCACTGACTTTGCAGAGACGGATACAATCATAATGCGGAGGTTCAACATCATATATGAACTATATGTTTCACATGATATGCAATTAGTGGTCGAGTGGTCTTGGAGGTTAAGACTTCCTGATGCCGACTTTGTCGCGGTGGCATCAGCGCTTGGAGCAGGCGAATGTGTTCTTCTTGTACATAATGTTGGCGAACCACTGAAATAAGATTGCAAACCTCTATTGTGGTTCCCGTTTCTAAAAAATGCCTGGATGCAAAGCTGTGCAAAAGACACTGAAGGGTGAAAGGATGTGAGAATAAAAATTAGCACAACAATGCAACATGCATGGCCATTTTGTGTGAGTAGGCGACAAACATTCAAATATTTAATGTGTAGATGTTGAAACAGTGAAGCGAGCACTCAGCAAGCAGGTCCAGATGAGGTGGTCATTTTCGTGACAACATTTCAACGCGCTGTGCTTGGGAGCCCAGGATGCTTCACGGATCCAGCTACACATCACTGGGACATACAGTGGCATCAACTGCTACTCATACTAAATATGGTGAATATGATACACGTAGCAAGCAGCAAGATGGAGAGACATGGAGAGACCATGTTTTCTGGGAGTAGTTTGCAGAATGTTTGCAGAATGTTCTCTTGGCATCTTTTGAAGTGTTTCTGATGTTTCTGGAGATCCGAAATTCTTTTCAGAACACACTGAGCGACTGAGCGAAGCGAGACCTGAGGCCAACTAGAGCTCATTTGTTGCTCCTGACAGATGTTGAAGCGCTGGAAGAGAAACTAAAGGAGACTTTGCACAAATTCAATGCACATGCACGCTTGAAATGTTATCAAATGTTGATGAGTTTCTGCTTCCTGCATCTACTCGTACCTGCTACTTGATCTACTTGTAGAGTCTACCAGCAATTCCTTTCTGATTTGGTGTGAGGAGACGGGCATCGATTTGCAGCGGTTGACCTTCCACAGGCTCTAGGAACTATCATGAAATGATATGGTGCTGGCTATTGATTCCTGATACACAGACACTTTGAAATGAATCTATTGCAGGTCCCGCAGATAAACACAGCACCTGCACAAAATTGATTCCAATGGTCTATGTTTCGATCCACCAGCATCCACCAGCCTGAATTGGTTTGGCGCAGGAAATTGCTTTGGCTCGTTTGACAATTCTGCTCCACTAAAATGAGAAATTGAAGGCTCAAAATCTTTCAGAGAATGGTTTGCTGTGCCAGGGTCGATGCTGCAGAACCCTGGAGTGCTTTGCCGACAAACGATGTGGTCCTGACTTTGTTTTGCTTCATTCGCTGTGCATGTGACCGTTGCCAAAGTTTTACGCTCACTGGCTAGGTGCGGTTATATCACGTGTACACTGTCTTGCACGGCATACAGGTGGGGAAGAAGAGTCGAACCACTCATTGACATTAAGGACATAGTGACATATTACATATTCAATATATAATTATATCTATATATATAATATATTATGTTGTTGATATTTGTTGTTGTTTGATGTTGCATGTGCGGCTCTTTATGATTTAATGCTGCTGTGCTGTGACCTTGACAGAGGCAAAAGTCATTCAAGTATCAGAAGTGGAGGGTATTGCTTTTCAGGCGAGCAAGTCTGCTTTTCATCTTTTGATTTCTTTCCTGAGCCAACAAACGTTGAAGACATAGTTATGTCATGTTGTGTCCACGTACTAGTAGTATCATGCATTTGTTTCCTACTGAAGAGAAACCAGACTTGAATAATCAGTTCCAGAGTTCCAAATGTCACTCGTTAAATCCGGCGCTGGCATTCAAGCATTCAAGGTCTTTCTTTGGCCACTATATAATGCCATATAATGCAATTTTATTTTGTGCACACATTACATAATACATATATCGCAGTATTATTTTGTCACCTTCGTGGAACAGTTTGGGGAAAACAGGATGCATTTAAAGTTCCAGTCAAGGAACCAATTCAGTTGATTCCAGAGACTTTGTTTGACTCTGTGAAAAATTGGCAAAACGTTTATCAATGAAACTCCTTCTGAAGATCACTTGAAAAGTAGCTTTACCGCCTCTGATTTCAGGCAAACCCATTTGTTTGGGCGTCAGCGCAGCCGCCCGGAGTCCATTTGTCAGACTCTCGTGGGATGTCGTGGGATGTTTACGCAGCAAGCTTCTCCTTGTCAGGAATTGTGGACATCATGCTGCAAAATTGTGAAAGTGTTTACTAAGTGTTTGCTGTGTTTACCAACACTTTCAAACAAATTGGGCTTCAGGTTTCTTGACCTTTGCGGCCCCAGACGTACCTGTAGAACAGCTGTAAGTTAAGTGAGGGCTCAGTTCCAACGGTCAGATGGAAATCCTATGAAGATGCAGGTTGCCTTTTGTACTGTGTCGGTACTGTAGGTTGCCTACACCCCCAGATATGGACCCGGGATAGTTGTGATGTCCAATAGGAATCAATAGGATCAATAGGTGTTTGAGTGAGGTTCTTGGAGTTGGGGAGGAGTGTTTGCAGAGGTGTAATGTATCAATATTGGCACCATGAGGCCAGGAGGGCCTTGTTCTGTCACCAAGCCTTGGCGTGCAGTTACCCCGCATTGTTTGGGATTGATTCTCGAGATTTAATTTGTGCCATAAACAGATGAATAAAACAACACAAACTGTTGCCAAGTTGTTTCGGAGTGTTGAGTCAACAGTCAACAGCAGCATTATATGTTCAAACTGGCGAAATCTGGCGAAAGGCAGATGCCATGTCAAGTGATAAGAATAGCACACCAAGGTTTGCAGACAATACCCTAGCCAAATCCTCAGCAGATGCCAGGTTTGGATCACACAAGAGAGGTTTTATTGGAGATGTTTGTTACATTTTGTTGCTGCATCGCATGCTTTTACCAAGACTGGCAACTGGATCATAAGGTTGGCGAGGCAAAGACTTGGCCAGCTCTAGCGATGTGTTTTGGCACGGAGGCACTTGATGGACACCATGAATGCATGGCTAGCGGCTAGTTAGTTGCCTTGCTGATGCAGTCCTGCAAAGATGCCGGGATGCGATTCTTGCCGATGATTTCCAAGCACCGACTCACACACAATGACTTTTGATTTGTGTACGTCTTGGTGTAGATGTTTCTCAAAGTTTGTCGACACTGGATCTTGATGTGCGTTGTTGCGTTCGAAGCACTAAAATTCTGCGCAAAGTTTGACTTTTGGCCGATGTTGAAATCAAGAGTGAACACCACAGTTTGATGGTAGGCAGACCATCTCCAATCGAAGCCAACAGTTGCTTCAAACTATATGATTGGAACCAAGCCGGATGTGCAAAGGTGCCGGGCATGCTGCTCGTTGGTGCTTGTACTTCGAAAGACTTCCATATTCAGCATGACATACAGACCGGACAAAAAAACTAAAGGCACGGGCACGGGCATGGACAGCGGTAGCCCGACAGCAGCGTCTCTAGTTTCTTGATGTTTCTCGATATCAGAGGTATCTTTCTGCTGTTGTTGACAAGATCAAAGCTGCAGCGTGCAACAAGCGTGGCGTCCTCCTGCCATGTTTTGGTGACGTGATTTTGTTGACCCATTGCGCAGCCCAGCGAACAATTGGAAGATGAACTCGGTACACGTTGACACGTTGACCGTGGGAAGTGGGTTGAACTTGAAACACAGAGGCTGCATTGAAACCTTGGAGAACTAAGGTCAGCCCTCTTCAAGACGCATGTTCATTTACTTAATTTGGATCAATTTAGTCTAGTCACGGTTGGGGCTTTGAGGAACCAGCGCAGTCGGGTCTTCAAAACATTCGACTGACAGCATTCCGTATGCACTGTTTTCCCCGCCAGGTGTGTCCAAGCATTTTGGGTCAGTTTTGCACTCGCGGCAGACAGGTGGCCACTGCCGCTGCAAACTTTGTGGCACAGACAGAAGGCTGCGGGCAGAATGCAGCAGAAAGTGCAACATGCCAAGGCCAAAATCGGCGCTCCTCACACCACTGCTATGCCTTTGAGTTGACGCTCAGGCACTAAAGTGTTTATCCACAACGGTCAAAATGGACCTGCACGAGGGCCCAGCACAGGTGAATTTGAATCGTGTTGCTGTATCCATTTGTATCCCCTCCAGATGCTCAGACGAGTTAGTTTCTTATGCACTTGCAACTGCAGTACAGGTTTGGACGGGTGAAAATGTTGCGGCCAAAGACATCATCCTGGACTCAGAAGACCATGTGATCAATCAGGCCATGTTCACCATATCACCTGCATGTTTTCTTAATATGCTGAAGTTGTTTGATCAGGACGGCTACCAATATGCAGTCCTCCGACGCTATGACCAGCACCAGGAAGATGATGAAACACTTGCATTCACGAGCTACCAGCCTTTTCACTCAAGAGATCCGCGTTTGGGTCCTGTAGATTGCCGACCTACATTCTTTTCACACAAACGAACAGGCCAGTCTCTGAATCCTGTAGGCTAGCAACTTCATTGCCCAACAAACTTCCAACCTTGAAGTACTGCAAGTGACCAGCCCTGTGACACCAAAACCCATCCTTAAATTGCACATCTATAGCCCCGCACATCAGCTTGAACAGTTCCACCCAACAGACCAGTGCCAAAGTTGCGGTTGACAAGCCAGAGCTTTCTTTTGGCCGGATGGCCTGATGTTGAATTGGACTCTACTACCCCTCTTGATGTAGCAACTCCGTCTCTGAGTCCTATAGCTTGTTAGACTACAGCGCTATTCGGCTTGAATTGGCCCCATACACCCTTTTCGATTAAAGCTTAGTCCAAGTAGGTAGCAACCTACACCCCTCATGTGCTTGAATGGGCCGAACACCGCCATTCTTTTTCTGCGAAAAGGCTGCAAGCAAGCAACTGGGATTAAAAAGAAGAACACTGGAGGTCATTGAACTGTTTGAAATTGAACTCCCTTATATAATATTGATGTGAGTGTGGAGGTGTCAGCATGGCAAGCTTGCAATGGAGTTTCCTCTTCCAGATTCTTCCAGATTCTTCCAGATTCTTCCAGATTCTTCCAGATTCTTCCAGATTCTTCCAGGAGCTCTGGAAAAGCCTTCAGCTTCAGTTTGGGCGACGCCGCATTCCGCCTGATTGCTCAAGCTTTGAGGCGACACTTGAGAGCTCAGGGCATCAGATATGCCCCCTGTATAGGGTAGACCAGTCATTGAGTTGCTAACTTTGGCTTTGTCATCGTTTCTGGCTCCAGGTTGAAGATGGTGACATGCAGGGTCACGATTTGACACATGGCTCAGCAGAGAATGAAGTGGAATGCTGCACCACCTGCCAGCAGGACCCAGGCTCGAAGTTCTTGGCGGTGTGTGTCTTGTAGTTTCTAGATTTGTGGGATATTGTGAGGTGCGATACACGGTGAATTGGAACTGGTTGCGTCGTTGTCGTAGGCTGCTCAGCCTTTATTTTCTCTCCGTCTCGAAAGCACTGCTGGCTAAAGTCAGCAGGAGGAATCAGGCACGGCCACCGGCCACCCATTAGATTCATTAGATCGATTTACAAGCTTTGGCAGAGAGAAGGCTCCTAAATATCCTGTATAAATGATTCATGACTATAACATAGACTCAGAAGCAGTGTCAATCCGAAACACATCGACTTAAAGTCAACTTATGATAGAATTCTTTAACAATAATTCACCGAAGAGTCAAAGACTCTCTTTCGGCAGGACGTACCGTCCGGGCTCTGACATGCGATGCGGGCTTCGGTGCAATCCTTACCAGCTTAGCCAACTTGCAATTGTGTTCACTACTTCATAGTAGTTCCTGTTGGTTGGCCACACTCTATGAGGATCAATGGTCAAGCTTGAGATGGACGTTCAGATTGAGATGCGGTCGTTTAGATTGCGGATAGCAGAGTTCAAAATGAGAGAGGCTCCCAAACGTTCTTCGTTTCTTCATGTTTCAAACAAGTTTCTCTATTTTCATCACACTCCTCGACGTAGCAGTGGTCACAGTCAGACCATGGTCAGATTCAACGGAGTCATGCCACAAGATCTGGCTTAAGGCCTGGGTGTAGTAAGTTCACATGAACGAACAATGGAGACAGACAGCAAGTTATTGCAACTTGCATTACTATGATCATTATGTAAGATTCGTTTCTTTAGATGTGTAGCAAGAAAGCCAGCAAGAGCAGATTGCTTTGCCATGGGTTGTTCTTGAACCACGAACTCGCAATTCCGATTTTGTAGCACTAACTGCACCAAAGCACGTTTCCTCTTTGCATGTTGTGCCCATTTTTTCTGGCAGGCTGAAGGCTAAAGATTTCTTGGTTACGGTCAATGCAACTGACTCAACCATGAAAATCATTAGAATACCATTAGATTCTGCCAATCTGACAGATTGATAGAGTTGGTCCCGTAGAGCCATGTTGTTCCACAGTAAACGACGTTGCGCACTTAGTAGAAGAAGCTTTAGCTCTGTTGCGTTCTTGCTGGTGATGGTATATTGCTGGATGGTGATCGCCTAGTTCTTGGCTTCTTCGACAGCCAGTACAACCGCCCTGGTCCATTGCGAAAGCTACACAAACAGAAAGGCAAGCAATTCAAATTGTTCTCAGTTTTCGGCGTGTTTAGACTGAGTATTAGACCCACTCATGTGTGAGCAGAGATAGTGCTTTGCTGAGGCACGTATGACCGTGATAAAAGAGCAGGTTTTCAACAAACAATTGGACTCAGTGCATTGTGGGGATGGATGCAAGATTCACAGACCGTATGACAACGTATGTATATGACATAAAGATTTGAATCATGTTTCCTATACTTGTGACAAGAGTGGGCCAACTACTGATGAGAGTCATTCCAACTGACGCAGACCTAGCATGCAGGCCTTGTGTGGATTTGGACCATTTTCACACTGCCAACCTTTCTGGTGCTGGTGGGCAACCATCCAGATGTTCAGGCAGACTTTGAATTGCAGGGTGTTGTTTTCACTCGTAGCAAATTCCCTTGCTGATTGTCGCAGGAGTGGTTTATCAAGTGAAGGTCCTCAGACAAGATGAATCGCATCTGTCAAGCGGTTGTGTGTTTGCCGCTTAAATGCTGTGGAGTTCTGAGGCAGTACAAGCCTGTTGAATATCCACCGCAGTCCTGAACCTGGTGATTTTGCACTTTGTACTCAGATGCATCCAATACACAGAACATGTATTGATATTTGTTGACAACTGGCGTCCAAGATTTGTGGCAGTAAAGCTTCAGCGGATACAAATGGGACTTTTGGCCCTGCAGTAGATAAAGGCAGGAAAATGTGCTTCCTGTTTCATTGGTGCATGAGACTACTGCAGATTCAACTGCACAATTGGAATGATTGATTTTAACAAAACAGTTCATCAGTCGCACCGACTGTTCATACTGTTGTTTTGTGATCTGGCTTGGTTGGTGTTCTTTTCTCTGAGGTCTGATCCGTCCATCATCTACAACATTTTTCACGGAAGGTCAGCTTGGGAGTGATTTGCACCGTGAAGCACCTTGATGCTGAGAAGTTTACGGCAGTTTGCACTTGTTCAACATTTTGTTTGTGCAGGACACCCAGAAAGTCTGCATAGAAAACCAGTGGCTACCTCTGACGTTCCGCAGATTACACCGAGTGGTATTTATCACGTCCTGCACTCCAACAATCATACTACGTTACTACATACTGTACTCTACGGATTTGAACAGAAAAGTACCTGACTCCACCATTTGGGCGCAGAAACATGCAGAAACATGCAGAAACTCTTGTTCTGATGCTAAGGTCTTGTGGTGCTGAAGTTGAGCCCGCAAGTTGTTGGAAAAGTTGCGCAGGAAATGATGATCTGATACAAATGCGAATCCCGACCCAGAGCGTCTTCTTCCAGGGCTCCAACCTCGGATACATGCATGTGGCAGCTCGAGGGCAGCTGCCTGTATGTCGCTGCGGTCATGCTGTCCTAGTGTTCCCGGCGCAGCCAATTCTGCTGGAGTTCTTGGATGGTAGTGTGATTTCGAAGTCTGATTTCGTGACCAGCTTACAAGGCACAAGGTATCACTTGAAAGCTGCGAATGCCATTTACCTGATCAGAAAGATCTTTTGATTTGCAAGCCTGTGCGGCAAGATCGACAAGCTTCTTTGCACAAACCAGCGGTGGTCAAATATACACTGAACATATTATATAGTTGCTTTCCTCTGTGGCGGCCTGATATCTGGAGATCATGCTGAAGGTGGGGTAAATGAAACAGGTCTCTGAAAAGATCGGTGATGTTCTGTGATTAGTCAAAGACTCAAAAGGTCCCAAAATAATCCAAAATAATCCAAAATAAACAACCTGGCCATCGAATCCATCGACAGGTTCTGGGGCCAGATCGCTTTAGGCAGCGGCAGGCCGATCTGGTAAAGAGTTACGTCCAACAGCACAGAGTCGGATGACTTTGGGGCCAGGCCCAAGGTTCCGGTAGCGTATCCAGTGCCGAGAAAAGGAAGGCCAGACGCAGTTGGATACGCAGTGCCACTATGATCACTATGTGCCACTTGTCTATTTTGCAAGGATTGTACGTAATTGATCGGCATATGTATGCGTGTCTGGTAGATAAACTGGATTTAGAGTGCTACTGTAACTCCGCGAAAGGGCTGTAGCAGGACTACAGGCAGCATTTGTTGTACCCAGTGTTGTTCTTTGACTTAATGACCCATTTGTTGTATCGCGGCGACACTGCATGTTTGGAGCGGGTACAGCTTTGCTGCTTGCGCTGGCAGGTTGAATCTACTGAATCTCAGGCCAGATTTACTGCATTGCATATTTTATGATTTTTTTTATGAGACATACATACACTTTGTTGCTTAGAACATCTTAGAACTTTGTTCATGAGATCTAAGGAATCCAAGAAAAAGAAACCAATGCTACCAAACATAGAGGAAAAGAGTTGCGAAGAGTTCAGATACAAAGGTTCCCTTGAGCACTTTGATCTTACTATGGCAGTCAAGTCTAATTTGTAACGGATGGAAAGTCTCCCGTGAATCTTACGTTCGGACAGCAGCTGCAGATGCGGCAGAATTCTTAGACACCTCATTTTTGCAGGCCAGCATCCGGAGAGGTTGCTTAGCTGACTGGATGGAGCTCTCGGCAGAATTCTGAGCAAGGGTGCCGCAGCGATGTCAAGCACATCAATTCCCTTCACCTGCAGATGAGACAATGCCATCAATGCTTCGTTGTTTTTCATTGTTTTCTGAGGTTCATGTGAACCCTTCCTTGCGCCAAACTCGGCAGAGAACCCTGCCTCGTGGATTACAGGATCGATATGCCTCGAGTGTCGGTTGCTCAGCCAAGTCCCCTCTGAGTCGAAAGGTTGCAGATGTGGTGTTGCTGTGGTATTTGTCCAGTTTTGCATACACCAGGTGCGACAGTATCTGACGCAGGCAATGCTTCAAAAAGGCCAAGCATGATGAACGCGGAAACTGGAACTGTCTCACTCGCGTTTGTACGATTCATAGCCCTAGCCCCTAGCTGAGCATTTTTTGCATTGGGTTTAATTTTAATTTCACAAAATTACCGTTGCTTTTGTCAGGCAAAGAACTGAACAGCAGAAGACCAGTGCCTCGCCCATGCTTGATTGGTTCTGAGTGTCAAGTCCGTGACCCTGGTTGTTGGAGTTCGGTCGAAACTGACGTTGGTTGACCGATGAAGGTTGAAGCTGCTGGCAAAAAGAAGTGGGGGCCTCATCGGCCTCATCGGCCTCATCACATTTGTTTGCTTGAAGTGTTTGCAAATTTGTGCACGCTGCAAGAAGTATAGAACATTATAGAACTAGGCATGTGTGCTCATTTGTGCTCTCGGGCAATCACCTACATATATACTTCAGTGTGCTAGCTCCGGCATGCATTTTTTCAACATTGCTTTAAGTAGTTAGTGGGAACCATTTCCAAAGTAGCCCACGTTTTGATATTCAGAGTGGATGGAGTGGTTTGATCAGTGTCCTGTGGGCGTTTTGCTCAGGCAAGTAGCCTTGCAGGTGCAGCAGGCTCACACGCAACGTTCGCACGTTCGCACATTCGCACTTGTACTTCGCGTGAATGCTTTCATATAGACGTATGATGACTTATGAAAGAATGTGTTGTTTGTTCTGGACAGCGTAGTGTACGATCGAAACTCTTTGACAATATGTGTCGAAGCAAATAGGCTCATGGCTCATGCCACCTGATTTGATGATGGTGACAGGTGCATGAGGGACCAGAGGGAATTCTCATTCGGGCTCAAGTTGTACAGGCAGTGCTTCACTCACAGCTACTGCATGTACCAACCCTTCAAATTGACCACTGAGAATTTGGAACTACCAATAAAGTCTTGGAAGTGTTCTGAACTCTCATATTTTTGTGGGAGTGCTTCACTGTGAAGAGTGCAGGGGTGTTTGAGCTGCGAAGAATTGCCACAAGGATCCTCAGTGAGGCAGTGCTGTTGGGCAATTGTGGACATCCAACATACAAAAACGCGTTGTAATGTGCAGGGAAATGCTGGACATGAAACCCTGGAGGCTTTTGCTCCACCAAAAGCATCCAGCCCTGCAGGCTGTGGCTGGCATTTGGCTGTTTCATGCTGTTTCCATGTTCGCCGTCATTGCATCTCATTTGCCCTCGAGCGACTTTGTTTGGAGGCACTTCAGCTTTGGCAGGGCACGATGCTTCAGGTGCTTTTGGCACAGCACTTCTTCTGTGCAATTTGATGAAAGGTTGATTTCTGAAGCCTGAGTGCTGCCTTCTCCAGGTGTCCAACTTCAGTCTGGTCCAGGCAGGCGAAGAGGAGGAGTTTCACTCATGAGTGTTGTTTGAAAGAAACGCAACAGGACACTGGATCTGGCTCGCTGTTGCCCGAGACTTAGATTAAGTCAGATGTAAATTGGCATGGACAGACTGGGACACATGCATGGAACATCATGGAACATCATGAAACCTTTTGATTCCTTGAGAAGCGTGAGTGAGCCATCCTGAGACAGCGGGTTGGGTCCTTCCCGTTGCGCAAGGGCCCGCGGGCCCGTAGATGCCCGTAGTAAGGGCCCTTACGGAGCCCGTTGGCGTTCAGAAGGTCTCTTCTCGAGACAGCATCTCTTCAAGGAAAAATTAAATAATGGACTCACTATGCAGATTCTTGGGAGCATCAGCAGCATCAGCCTTCCTCAACTCAAATGCTTTGCTTGTGATCCTAAAACCTTTGGGTGATGTAGATCAAAGGTTCAATCGCTCAAGAGTCACCCTCTTAACCTTCACATTACCCCTACCCCCAATGCACCTTACAGCCCAAATGGAGTGACCCATACCGCCCTGACCCGGCAAGATTGAACTTTGAGGTTGCCGACTGAAATCCATGCACTCGGAATCTCGCATTGAGTGGTCACAGCAGAGTTGTGTACAGTTTCTTCCAGTGCCATGTGCATGGAGTGGTTTAAATAACCGCAGAAGATTCGAAATGCCCTGCAAGTTTGTCTTGCAGTTGGATCGTGTCAAGGATAACTTGACATTTGGATCTGCAGAGCACAGTCAATTCCCTGGTGGGGCAGAGCTTGACATGTTGCAGATGCAGTTGGTCACGTTGGGGAAAATGAGCAGCTGCGCAGCTGTTCAGGCAAAGGTACAGGACTTGGATTTTTTAAGATTACTGGAAAGATCTGGAAAGCATGTCGCGGTGAATTGCAAAGTTGTCTTCATGCTTTTGGGGATATCGCCTTGTAATTGCTCAACCAGCTGCTGCGCAATGACCAAAGATGCACATGAAACTTAAACTGTATTATATTGTAATGAGATTGAACATTTAGCTTCATGAAGCTCTTTGGCATAGACTTTTGGATTGTGTTGGCCTGTCGAAAAAGTTCCTGGAAACATTAAAACATTGAAGCCAAAGAACAAAGTGAAGCTAGAAGTACCTGCAGTGCTTCCAACAGACTGTCGTCCCTCATAGATTCTTGTGCCTTTGCAGAAAGAGCTGGTTAGCCCGACCGGTCCGACCCATTAGCAAGCATGGGGGTCAGGGTCTCAGCCAAGACCTTGTGCTCTTGTTCAGCAATGGGCGCCCAGCAATGTTGTTTCATGTTCTGTCATGTGTATGGCTCCCAGCTCCCGGCAGCTGCAATATGCTGTTTATTTGTGCATCCCGCTGGTTGTCCCACTGGAATGATGTCGCATTGCGGGCGCCCACGAGGAAAATTAACCGAAAACCGCCACTCGCCCCACTCACCCCACTCGCCCCACTCGCCCCACTCGCCTCACTCGCCCCACTCGCCCCACTCGCCCTACTTCCCCTGCACTAGCAAATTAATTGAAATCTGCCACTCCCCCACTCGCCCCACCCGCCCCCACTTGCCTTGGTAGGAAAATCAATTAAAATCCGCCACTCGCCCCACTCGACTCCACTCGACTCCACTCGACCCACTTTGCCGGGGTATGGGGGGTAAGCAGAGAAAGCACGGCAAGCGGGCAAGCGGGGCAAGCGGCAGAAATCACTTAGCGGCCGCGCGGGGCAACCACACTGTGATGTCGTTATGCTCTCCCGGATAGCTTAGACAGATCCGCGCATTCTGTTTCGTCCAAGGTCCCAGCTGTACCCATGTTGAATCCCATGGATTTCGTCACCGAAATCCTGGTCACAGCAGCCGTGCTTGTTGCATTAATCTTCCTTTGGCAGCGCTCCGTGGCATGTTTTGAACGCCTTGATTTCGACTGTCAGGTCATACAGCCATACAGCGCATGTGTTTATTTTTTGTTATTTCAACATGATCTCGACTTTTTGATGTCACCAGCTCGGACTCTTGACAGGTACCGAGGCAGAGTGATGAAAGTTCTGACTGGTGATGACAAGCTGCATGGATCCGTTTTGGATGGTATTTGGTGCTGTTGCTTCCAATGCTGCCATCGCCCCAGTGATTCTCTCGATTCCAGTGCTGGCCTTGCTAGATTCCAGGATATTCCAGGATTCTGCAACCGATTAACTCCCGTTTTGCCTCGGTGGCCAAGGTGGAGTTTGTACTGGTGACTGGACTCGGAATCTGACAATGTTCCAATGCTGTCCTCGCAGGTTGCGAAGGCCCTTGGGTTCCGCTGCAACTCGCATGCTGCTTTGAGTTTTTTCTGCAAGTAAAGGTGCTTGCAAAATATGTGGGAAAACAATGCCCCGTTGAGGATAGCCAATTCTTCAATAGTTTAAACTTAAAAGAATTAAGTACAGCATTATTGTGGACGTGACTGGCAGAACATGAAATTAGACTATATTAGACTACAGATGACTATAGTGAGTTCTGACGGAAACGCACAAAATCTCACCCTCTTAGTGGTTTTCTCTCATACTGTACCAGGCAAAACCTGGTGAAGGTAGTTGGTCAGCTCCTGGGCATGTCTACTTACACGGCCAAGTCCTGAGGAAGTGAGAGACATTGTGAAAGAAAGCATTGAGGCATCACAAGTAGAGTTCAAACTCGGAGAAGGTCACATTTGATAACGTTGATGGAGCCATGCAAGAGCATTCTACGGGTAAACACCTGGAGAACTGACTATGGGTGATGGGTAGTTGTCAGAACAAATCTATCGAATTGTAAGATCAAGAACATTCTTTCATGCCTTTCATTTTTTCCTTGCTGTGTTTTTGGCCGGACCATTCCGGATGCTCACACTGGACACTCAGATGACACTCAGTAGAATCAGTAGAATGATTAGAATGAAGTTGTCTGCATTGCAAGTTGTTTGCTTACAGCTTGTGCTCATTTTGTGCCCATCTTGTGCTCCATTGCGCGGCTGAGAGTTTCTGAGGTGGAGCTGCGAAACATCGTCGTTGGTGATCTTCCTTATGTCCACCTGCCATGTGCTTCCAGACACCTTCCAGACACATCTTCCAGACATTTGATACATCTGCAAAATAGATCAAAATAGCTTAAACTTGATTTATGTGCACGGCAAGACCGGCAAGACCTCCAAACCATTTGAAAGCTTTGCCTTTGCACACACCATCTTGACCAGTGCTGAAAGTGAATTTTAATATTGCACTGCTGTGACAGGATGGTCGCGGAGACGTGTACCTAAGCGTCGAATGCGCAGCTTGTGCCTCAGGGACCCTGTTTGGCCAGGTATCCCCAGAGGGCCTGTTTGGTTCTGGCATGAGGTCAACCCAGCTATGATGACTGCAGTGGCAGAAGACAAGCAAGCAAAGGCCCCACAAGGGGTCTGAAAACTGCAGAGTGCAGTGACATGGTTTATGACGCTTCTGTCCAAACTCATATCATCATCTATTTGTAATTGTGATAATATACCAGTAGTACCGCACAAGGCGGTGGCGGAAGTTTCAAAAATAGGAAACCTATAGGAGAGCTTGGTTGTTGTGAATCAGGGATGGCAGAGCGAAGCTACTGATGGACCGAAAGGTGCTTGAGGTCTCCTCTCTTTCTCTCTCTTTCTCTGACTATCTATCTATGTATCTATGTATCTATGCATCTATGTATCTATGTATCTATGTATCTATGCATCTATGTATCTATCTATCTACCTATCTATCTATCTGTCTACTATCTATCTATCTTTCTATCTATCTATCTAACTACCTACCTATCTATCTGTCTATCTATCTATCTATCGATCGATCTATCTATCTATCTATCTATCTATCTATCTATCTCTCTATCTCTCTATCTCTCTCTCTCTCTCTATCTCTCTATCTCTCTATCTATCTATCTATCTATCTATCTATCTATCTGCAAGATCAAAAACAAAGAAATTCTGCGAGACTTCCTGAATGTTTGAACATAACAACGTCCGAAACGAAGCAATTCTGCGAGACTTCCTCATTTTTCGAAATTGAAGACATCAAAATCGAACAGAAACAAAAGAATTCTGCGAGACTTCCTTCAGAAGTGGAAAGTTGAGTGCAGAGCTGACAGCCTCGTACCAATGCGTTTTGCGATTTTTCCAGTCCACCGGAAAATTGATGCCAGGTCATACGAAGTGCTGCACCTGTCACGCAAAATCATCTGAGCAAACCTGCACATCTGATACTCCAAAATGCAACCCCTCTCAGGAAATCAGCGCCCTGACCTCCTAACATCTCTCATGAACATGTCCTTTGTACTGCGCCTGCCACGGAAAATGCATCTTTGCAGATCCTCTTCAAATGCCCCATGCCTGCCATCGTTTTTGGAAATCCTACAAAACCCTCACGTTTTGCTCACTTTTGAAGAGGTGCACAATCCCTTGCGCCTGTCACGCCAAACGACATCTGAACCTCCAAAAGTGGTCCGAACCCCTACTGTTTTGAACATGTTTACTTCGAAATGTGCTTCGCGCCACAACGGCGTGCACTTTTTCGACATCCGAACCTCCAAAAGTGGTCCGCACCTGGTGTGTTTTGTACATTTTGACTTCGACATGTGCTTCGCGCCACAACGGCGTGCACTTTTTCGACATCTCAACTTCCAAAAGTGCTCCGAGACCCAGGTGTTTTGTACATTTTGACTTGCAAATGTGCTTCGCGCCACAAGGGCGTGCACTTTTTCGACATCGCAACTTCCAAAAGTGGTCCGACAATGGTGTGTTTTGTACATTTTGACTTCGAAATGTGCTTCGCGCCACAACGGCGTGCACTTTTTCGACATCGCAACTTCCAAAAGTGGTCCGACCATGGTGTGTTTTGTACATTTTGACTTCAAAATGTGCTTCGCGCCACAACGGCGTGCAATTTTCATCTCTCATCTGGCCAGCTGGCTCCGCACCCGCCGCTTTAGCGAGCCTACTTTTCGACCCTCCGGAGCCCCAAATCATTGGAAAAACACAGTGTTTCGCGACTTTCCTTCCTTTTCGCGCATCTCCATCTTCTTTCTTCTTACTCTTTCTCTTCTACTCTTCTTTCTTCTAATCCTTCTCTTCTCTCTGCCTCTTCCCTGCTCTGCTTTTCATCTGTCCATATTGTCGGAAGTTTGACTTCTAAACTTCCTTCGATGAGTGCGTAAGCACGCCATGATTGCGTTGACATCAGCCACTTCTAGACAGATTGCGATGTGTCTTAAATGAGTCGAAGTGCAGTCGTTTTGTACGCTCAGCGTCCTCAATTCAATCCACCAAAAGATGTCCAAAGCCGATTCTTTGTCGCCGGATGGAAATGAATAAGCCGTTAGACTAAATTCACGAGGATTCATGACATGTTTTTTGAGTTAGTTCCTTTTGCAAAGTCACTGCATCGAAGAAGTTTGAGATAGCAACTTTACACAACTTTTTGATGATGTTTGTGAGTGTCTAGCTCTAGCCGTACATGTTCTTTGCCGGCACGTGATAATCCACATCCACAGTAAGTCTAAGATGGTCTAAATCTACTCCAAGTATATAACTATAATAACTACAACATACTACAGCTAAACTATCAATACAACTGCCTTCTTTGGACGCTTGCAACTAATTGTACTAATTCATTATTGTTTCCCATGTTCAGAGATTTTCAGAGTTTCAGGCCAAAGTTCCAAGACCATTTGCCCAGCAAGACCTTCATGCAGTGGCGATAGGCTTCTGTTGTGCCAGGTTATCCACTTCCCTGAGATCCTCACAGTTCGTGTTCGGAACAACCTGTTAGAAGGAAACGTGCTTGCCCCAACAGAGATTGGATTGTTTGCAATAGCTTCAACGAACCATGGCTTGAGGGATTCAATGAAGCGAAGCCCGAGAGACAAAGGAGCAATCAGATTCTAGATGATTCAAGGTGAATTTAGCGGGGAGGCGAAGAATATTCTTGAACGTGACTTTGCAAAGTGAATTCAATCAGGTTCGCATCACAGCAAAGCGGATGAACGTCTTCGGATCTGAAGATCTTTGCAAAGTGGATTTCTCAGAGATGCCTGTCCAGTTGTAGCATTGCCTTTTTTGGAATGAGGAAATACATGGAAATACTCAAAAGATGATTGCAGTACCAAGACAATTCCAAACTGTATGCAATGGCAATATGGACGTGACATGTTGTTTTATGTGAATGGGAGACGAATATTGAGATGTGGCCTTAGAATGCATTTCATCCTTTTCGGTCTCTTGGGATTGACACTTAAGCAAGATGCAGATCATGGAAAGCTCCAAGTTCCATTGAGTCCTCTCTAGCTCGCTGAAGAAGATCGCAAGCATGCTGCCAGCTTGGCTGGGTTGCAGCCTTTGCTTTTTTAATTCAGGTTGTGATCAGTCCTATGAACATTGTGCACTGGGCAAGTCAAACAGATGAGTGGCGTCCTTGGACCCTGATCACAGAATCAGTTTCTTTGACACCATCAGACAGATGACTCTTCGTTGCTGCCATTGCCCTACGATTTTTGTGACATCCTATGGCGCTTCATCCACTGGTTTCAGCATTAGCATTTACATTCCGTTTGTTCAAACGAGCACCTTTGTTTTGCATGTGTAGTATTTGTGTATATATATATATTATTTATATATCATAATGTGTATATATATATTATAATTATATAAATATAGTTATATATATATATATACATATGCATGCCTCTGGGAATATCTGCGGATTAGGGTTTCTTTAGGGCGGGTCTTTCTGTAAGGTTGTTCTAGGAATTTATTTAGGGTTAGGGGATTTGGGTGTTTTCTTTCAGTTCACTAGTTGTTAACTGTTCGAGTTTAAGGCTCGAGGCTCGAAACACTGCAAACTACGGATAATGTCTTTAAGACATATTCCAAAGAGTGATTTTAGCGCCGCTTTCGGTAAGCGCAAAAATGCGACTAGATGCAGGCAATATCAATATTTTGCATTTTTCCAGTTTGCGAAAAACAAGGAACACAGCAGGTTGCAGTCCCGCATGGAATTCTCTTGATTTCAGTCAACCATTGTCAGCTCCATGGCGCCCTATATATGTATATATATATATATATTATATTATTTATATATTATATAGTCAGCGGCCCGTCCAGGACCTACCTTGAAGCCACTGGAGGGTACCCTGACGTTTATATATTGTGAATGAAAAGCATGTCAAGGAAAAACACTGTAAAGTACTAGTACGCTGTAAAAAATGGATTCGGGAATAACTACCATGATTACGAAATTAAGATGATTGAATGACATGAATTCAATCATAAGGCACGCTTTTAGAGAGCCAAAATTTGCCTTTCAAAAGGAATCCAAGAAAAAGTCATCTCTGAAGAAATATGTGTTTACACATATGTACATGTGAACCTGCTTTGGCAAGGGAATGCTTACTGATACGTTGCGCAAGGGCTTACTGTTTGTTGTCTTTAAGCAGAGCAAACGCACCTGCTTACAGTGTCACTGACACCAGCTGGCAATGCTTGACCGGGTGCGGTGCAGTGTTTTGTCGCACCTCATGCGCGCCTATAGTGTTTGATATTGGCATGTATGCAATGTGTGACGTCAATGCGATACAGACTAGAAATAGCATGAAATAACAATAATATTTAATTTGTATTCGATACTATATGTATATATATATACTGTAATTATCGAAGGAAGTTTAGAAGTCAAACTTCCGACAATATATGGACAGATGAAAAGCTGAGCAGGGAAGAGGCAGAGAGAAGAGAAAGATTAGAAGAAAGAAGAGTAGAAGAGAAAGAGTAAGAAGAAAGAAGATGCAGATGCGCGAAAAGGAAGGAAAGTCGCGAAACACTGTGTTTTTCCAATGATTTGGGGCTCCGGAGGGTCGAAAAGTAGGCTCGCTAAAGCGGCGGGTGCGGAGCCAGCTGGCCAGATGAGAGATGAAAATTGCACGCCGTTGTGGCGCGAAGCACATTTTGCAAGTCAAAATGTACAAAACACACCAGGTCTCGGACCACTTTTGGAAGTTGAGATGTCGAAAAAGTGCACGCCGTTGTGGCGCGAAGCACATTTCGAAGTCAAAATGTACAAAACACACCAGGTGCGGACCACTTTTGGAAGTTGAGATGTCGAAAAAGTGCACGCCGTTGTGGCGCGAAGCACATTTCCAAGTCAAAATGTACAAAGCACCTCAGTCCGGGACCAACGGCCCATATCGAGCCTACCACTCGCTCAAGTGGTTCTCCAAACACGGGAGACAGACACAAGCACCATTCCCATTGCCAAGATGAAGAGCTTTCTCGACAGCAGTATCACTGAAGCCTTCACAGTGGAGCGGTGGACAGCTGCAAAGATTGTCAAACGTCAGGTCCGCATTGTCTGTGCCTCTTGTCCGCAAGTATCCCTTGATGCAAAATAGGCTCATCTCAAGCAAAAAATAAACCCAGTGTCATGGAACATTCAGATCCAATTTGCTAATTTCAAAACAATCTGCTCACAGACCCAACTCTAAGAAAATGTACTGTGGTGAGCTTCACCCAATGCCTCTTGCCCAAGGACAACAAAGTCAATGAAGAAGCCGAGACTGGGATTGCGCCTGGGCAGACCAACATCCCCTTCAAGCAGTTCCTGGAGATGATCCAACCTGCTTTTCCTCAACAAGCCACGAAGCAGGATGCAATGGCATGCCTGAAGAGAGCGCACTGGATCGTGAATTTGAATCATGCAGTTTACGTGCGCCGAGCAGGCGTCAATGAGGATTCAGTACCTCTGGTCACTTTTCCGCCTGGTCAAGCTGACTTCATCTCTGATGACGGTAAAAAGGTGTTAGGCGCCAGGCGGCAAGGAGTTGGAATCACCCCAGACACTTGGCTTGAGAAGAGACAATGGAGCCATGACTTGGTGTCCATGCTTCTAGAAGGTAAACGACCTCCTGCCCGAGCACCTACCATCCTCACTACTTCATTGTCTGACAAGAAGAAGTTCATTGTGGAGAAGAAGGCCGAGCTTCCATTCTCAGGTCGCCTTTGCTCTTTGGAAGCTCCGAACCCCCCCTCACCTCTGCAATTGACCTTGACAGCTGTGAAGGAGGAGATCACCAATGAGGCCTCTTCTCTTCAAGATGCTGCTTTCGCATTTCAAAACTTGCTAGCAAAAGGACATACTGATGTCATTGACTTGGATTCTCCATCACCTCGACCAAAGCGGGTTCGCACTGCTGCAGAGGCTCCCCAGCACCTTGCTGCGCGATCTGCTTCTGATCTCGAGGCTGCCACAGAAGAGGAAATGGACCATCACTTCCCTGAAGTTGGTGCTGCAGCTGCAGATGATGCTGAGCCCTGAGCGCGCACAAGAGACTACAACAGTCCCAATTTTGTAGCATACGGCGTTGTCATTTCCAACATGGCTTCTAGCTGCATTCGTATCATGTGTAAAATATGCGAGGTTCCAATGTAGCCGAAAGGCGGCTAGAAAATCTTGTGCAACTTGGTCCTTCTGTGTTAAGCCATTTCCAGCTTGCGGTTGATCATTGCATCTTGAAGCAAGTGAGCCCCATGTAGATGGAGCGTTCGCAGCTTATGTCCTCTCAATCTTGTTGTTGCTTGTTTTTTGTAATTGTATTGCGCTAGCCATGTTGCCTGCCATGAAATGTTCGTCCAGTTCATCTTCTCAGAATGGACTGTTCCCTGCTTTGACCTTTGCCCAATACAAGAAGGCTATCAGTGAGGAATGGTTCCAATCCCCCAGCACCTTGGCTCTTCGTGCCTTGGGCACGCATCTGGTCATGTCCGGCTAGCTGAGTGACACAGTTTCTCTGAGGGGCGTGCTCATGAGTGATGCGCTTGGCCATTGTCCTATACCCAAGCTGTGTCCAGAAAACAAACGGCATCAAGTCATTTTGGCAGAAGAATGGAGCTCCAAGGATGGCCTTCGCTTCCGATTGAAGTGCTCGCACAGCTGCTTTCGCCAGCGACTTTGCCCTGCTGGACTTCTTTCTAAAGTTCATGTTTCCTTGTGGCTTGCCATCATTTACTTTGTCAAGGCCATGCGGTTGAACTATCGCTGGACAAAGCTTATGACAGACATGGAGTCAGTGTTCGGCGTCAAAAACAAGCGGACCTTTCAAACTTGGAGAGGTTTGTACCAAGATGCTTTGAAACTCTATCTCCAGAAGCATGGTAGCATCACACTTGGCAAATCTCCTGGTGACGTGGTGGTGTTTGATGAAACCCATATCGGCAGCCAGCGAGGGATTTCCAAATCTTCTTCGAGTGAAAGGGCAGCCAAGCTCAAGATCGGCAGCAGCAATGAAACAGAAGATTGCAAAGCGCCTGCCAGCCCGCACCGTGCATAAGCGCCCGTCCATGAAAAGGCCAGCATCGTCGTCATGTCGCCGACCTGCTGCAATTCCACTTCGTCGTCCTGCTTCTGTCATGAAGTCCATCTACAACAAAGGCAAGAAAGGGACAGACAAAGATGCCAGATCCGGTGGTCCATGGCTCTTTGCGGCTGTGCTAGTGGGCAACAAAAAGAAAGGTACACTCATGAGAATGGCAAAAAGGGATTCACCTTTTCTATGTTGCCAAAGCCTGCTCTAGCTCCAGATGGAAAATCTCGAGGCAAGGCCTCCATGAAGCACGCCATCTCTACATGCGTTTCCAAGAGGCCTTCGTTGTCCATGATTCCTGGAAAGATTCATCGGCTGCAAATGAAGCGCTGTGCTTCAAGTCTGCCCCGCCAGTGAACCATTCCATTGGTTGGCGTGACAGCGCCACAGGATTTCATTCCAATGACATTGAGTCGGAGTTTGCTCGCTTGAAATCCATGGTGCGTGAAAGGTATGGTCGAGTGTCCTTTCAATCCACACTTGAGACTGATGAGGCAGAGACAGAGAATGCGTCTGTGGACTTGGGGGATCTCTATGAATATGCCTTCCGTGTCAACATTGGCTCCTCATTCCATCATGTACTGAAAGCGCTTCAGCTGGTTTCACCTGTTTAGCTGAAAGGTGTTGTTAATGGGTTGGTGTTTGTATCGCAATATGATCATGCGCCTGGGCTGCTGCCAGAGCATGGACCAACTGATTATCTTTCAATCAATGGTGATGGGTAGCTCTGCATTGTCCAGCTCGAAAGAAAAACGTTTTGCCTTCTACCTGTGCAAATGTCTGCTCATGTTCAATGTTGTCAAAGGCAAGCACACGTAGAGAGTAAACTTGAGTTAGATGTATACTTTTTGATTACCCTGGTTAGTGTGTTCCGATCTGGAAGGAGGATTCTTTCTACTCCACCTTTGTGTATGATGGGTATTGACAGGTAGGGTTCCTAAGACAAGTTTATCACCATTGTGGGTATATCAAGAATAGACCCGCATGCATTGTTCATAGTGAACATAGTTTATAAACTTGTTGCAATGATTGTTAATGCAATGGCGATAGTTGATTTTCACCATGATGGACTAAGAATAACAATCAGATATACTGGTTGTCAAGGTGTCAAGGTGTTTGGTGGAATGCAAAATCATGATAGTAATGCTGATTGTTTCTGGTTTGGGTCTGATGTCTATCACCTATCCATGATGATTGGTACCTATCTCTGGATAAGACACAAGAAACAATTCTGACTGCTGGCAAAGCATTGAGTACTTGCATGTGTGCCATACTTGACTTCCATAGGTGTGGCTCTCAGGTGTTCTACAAAGGGTTTCCGGTTTCAAGCATGGCGCCTAAGATGCAAGCCATTGTGGGCATGGCTTCAGCGTCGGGCAGTGGACGCTAATCCTTAAACCTCCAGCTTGTTCGCGATGACACAGTCTTCCACCCTTCATCGTCTGCACCGTCACCTACACCCTCAGGATCTACGGACGTGGCTGTGCCAGACGCCCACGCAATCCACAAAGACGCCCAGTCTGGCAAGAAAGAACGCACCATCAGGCAGCTCCAGACTCACATCAACTACCTCCAAAGGTTCTACAGCCTGAAGCCAGGGATGAACGGGCAGTGGAGTCTGCCTGCCCAGCTTGCCTTCAATGACTGGCTTCTTCAAGAAACAAAGGGCTTCAAGACCAAGGATGACAACAAGGTGCTCGCAATCCAAGATGATGTCCGTGAGGTAGCCCCAGAAATCAAAGCTGATCGTCCTGTCCTCCCTAGCCAAGAGCTGCGTGAAGAAGAAGAAGAATCAGAAGGAGAAGAATCCAGCACCTCATCCTCCTCCTCCTCCACCTCCTTGCCTGCTGCCAAGCGTCAGAAGGTCGAAAGGGCGCTTCACAACTTGGAGTTTTTGTCGGAGGTCTTCCCTGAGTTCATAGACTGTGATGATTGTAAGAATGCGCCCCGTGATGCAATTGCATCCTTGAGAAGCATCGTCTGAATGCACAGTTCCCGGATCGTCTGAATATAATATAATATAATATAATATATATATATATATTTAATATATATATAATATATATATAATATATATATACATATATAATATATATAATATATAATATATATAATATATTATAAATATATATATATGTGTGTGTGTCATGTATAATATATTATGTATACAGTAGGCCTACATATACATAATACCTACGTATCTATATATATATATATGATACTTTTGTAAAAAAAAAGAGTATATATATATCATACTTACAGATGACAAAGAAAATTATATATATATATATACGTATACATACATACCTACCTACCTACCTACATACATACATATATATGTCATCACAACGCCTAAGTTAAGTACGTTTGTTCGTGTTGTGAAGTCCGCGTCGTTTGCAACGTGTCAATGTCCTACATACATATTGAAATGTAGAGTGCAAGAGTGAATGTCATGTCTGTGTGTGCGTGGGGGTGCAGATGTAGCCTACTTGCAATGTCAGAATGTAATACGTCGTGTCAAAAGGCGCAACACAATGCATGACAAATCAAGATTGTTGAAATGGTTTTGCTTTGACTCAATCATGAAGGCAAGACAAGATCAAGCGCTTTCAAATGAAGACCACGAACTTCGATTTGGAGAGAGAAACCCCTCCTTGGATCCTTGTGGAGTTCGGCCAGCCCATGGAGGCCAGGCATGAGCAGGGGCAGCAGGTCTAACAATTGATGTGATTGTGACATGCGAAAGCTGTCCGCTCGAGCTGAGAAGGTAAATAAGATAATATGGTTAAAGCATATTAAAGCCAGAAAGGTACGCAAGGCTTTGTGTTTTTCCGATTTACTCAAATAGAGCTGTGAGATTTGCTGTATAGAATGAAATCAAACCGTAGGGGTGTGTCTTCATACACTTGACCAGTAGTAGTCGTGGAAAGAGTAAAACGGTCACAGCACTGGTGTCCTCTCCAATTGTTCCTTGTCAGTTGTCGAACTGCGCATGTCTGAGATCCAACACATTTCAAAGCATTTCTGTCTTTCCAATCCGCTGGCATTCCCTATGCAGGTGCGCGATATTGACAACATCAGAAGCGTTGACACGATTCGAACCGCCACCAGAGACAACCAGTCGCCCTGCCACTTTGCTCAGTTCTGAATTAATTATGCTGCAATACTTTCAGGAATAGCATTTCCGCTCTATGAGCAAAGGTGTGTTGATTGTTTCTTTTCACAAGCAGTAGCACTTTGACCTTTCCATCCTTTTATGCCTTCCCCAACCTTTTGCAGCCCCTTTCTCGAATTCTGACCCACCATGCACGCAGCTACAAGCAACCAGCGCCAGGGCCCAGGAGTTCAATGTGGCAACCTACAAGCACACCTACTACTTGCTGGATGCAAGAGGAGATTGGATGATTCCCATTTGACTTGAAATGCTGCTTTATTGTTTTAGAATTTATAGAATATTGTTTGCTAAATGTTTTGTTGTTTTTTTCACCCTGAGTACCCGAAAGATACCCGAAAGATGGATGGATATGGATGGGTTCCACCTTGATATTCCCCTTATTTGGTCAAGCCAAACAAGCAAATGGTAATTTCATCTTCGTTCTACAGTCGCAGTTCGGAAATTTATGCTTTGCAACAATTGCAAACTGCAAGAGTATTGCATCACACGACAAGCCTTTAGTGTATTGAATTGCAATGGGCTAAAACGTCATGCGTAAGGACTCCACAGGATTTCGAGTAAATTCAATTCCGGGTCAGAAATTATCGGGCCGATTCAGCGTCACGGAGCAGCGTCACGGAGCAGCGTCCGGAATCAACATCCAAACATTCGGATCAGCGTCGCAGAATCAGCGTCAAAGACGATCCTGGATCAGCATCCTGAATACATGGTCGGGATGGTCGGGGTGATCGGGATGAGGGTTTCTTTTTTCTTTAGGGTCTCTTTAGGGTTTCTTTTAAGGTATCTTTGGGGTTTCTTTAGTTCTTTAGGGTTTCTTCTCGGGCTTCTTTCACGAAAGCCCGCCGGCCCCTTGCAATTTGCGAACGTAGTGAGAATAGGGAGTCTGGGGGGGCGGCCCTTGCCAGACGGCCCCGTTTCTCCACAATTAGACGGCGTGAGGGTGCCTGGCAGTAGCGTTTTGGAGGGCCAGGCACCACTAGGCAAACAGCTGACGTTAGCGTGTCGGTCCTCCCTGTTCCGCTCGGCGCAGCTGTTTTTTAGGAGACACCAACCCTTCAAATAGGCGTCAACAAGTGTGGATATGTGAGTGAAAAGTGCGTGAGTGAAAAGTGGGCGCGGAGCCTCAAGGGGACATAGTGTGCGTGGAAAAGTCTGTGGATGGAAAGTGCGCAAAATATGTGAGGGGAAAGGGCGCAAGTAAAAAAGTGAACCAACAAAGTAGATGCAAAAGTTTATGGGTGAAAGCGTCAAACAGTGTAGATTTTTGAGTGAAAGTTTGTTTGTGCAAAGTGGCTGAAAAGTCTTGAGGGAACGTACCGTCCTGAAAAATACGTTGATGGAAAGCACGTAAAATATGTGCGGGGCAAGGGTGCGAGTAAAAACTGAACCAACAAGTTAGATGCTTCACACTGGAGCTGGATGCAAACAGGGGGTGAGTTAAAAGTGGGTGAAAAGATGTGAAAAGTCTCAAGGGGGGACCGTCTGGAAAAGCACGTGGATGGAAAGCACGCAAAAGAGGTGAGGGGAAAGGGCGCGAGTAAAAAGTGCGCCAACAAGGTAGATGCAAAAGTTTATGAATGAAAGCGTCAACCAGTGTGGATGAGTGAGTTAAAAGTTTGTGGGTGAAAAGTGGGTGGAAAATCTCAGGGACATAGTGTCCCGAAAAGTATGTAAATGGAAAGCACATAAAATATTTGAGGGGAAAGGGCGCGAGTAAAAAGTGAACCTTCAAGGTAGATGCACCAACAAGGTAGATGCTGCACATTGAAGCTGTATACAAGCAGGGGGTGTGTTGATGGAGTGAATGCGAATTGGGGCCTATCATAAGTCTATGGGTGAAAAGTATATGGACGGAAAGTTTGTAAAAGGCATGTGCGAAAGAAAGGAACGCGTAGGTGAGGGCGAATTGGCATTTAACCGTTGGTGATGGTCTTGGATTGAATTCGCAAATAGGAGGCAACAATTGCAAATTGGCAGCTGCCTGAAAGAACCTGAGGCGAGAAGCTTGCCAGATTCATCGACATATCCCGATCTGGGTTCAACGCGGTCCAACTTGCCTCCAAGTGCAATAACAGTTAGACACATCAAAAAGCTTTCGGCATGGACCAACACTGGTTGATATTAGGGGGCATAGCGTCCTTCATGCGTCCTTCAAATAGTGCAAAGTTTCTTAGAAAAAAGTTTCAAGGGGTATAGCGTCCTTCAAATAAGCGTCAACAAGTGGATATGTGAGTGAAAAGGGTGTGAGTGAAAAGTGGGTGAGGAGCGTCAAAGGGACAGTGTGTGGAAAAGTCTGTGGATGGAAAGTGCGCAAAAATATGTGAGGGGAAAGGGCGCGAGTGAAAAAGTGAACCAACAAGGTAGACGCAAGGTTATGAATGAAAGCGTCAAAAAGTGTAGATTTTTGAGTGAAAGTTTGTTTGTGCAAAGTGGCTGAAAAGTCTTGAGGGAACGTACCGTCCTGAAAAATACGTTGATGGAAAGCACGTAAAATATGTGCGGGGCAAGGGTGCGAGTAAGAAGTGAACCAAAGAAAGGTAGACGCTTTACATGGGAGCTGTATGCAAGCAGGGGTTTGGTGTTGGATTGAAGTTTTTAGGAGTTGGGGCGATCGATGGTTATATAACTGCATTGGAGCTTCACGTAAGTCTGTGGATGAAAAAGTCTGTGGTTAACGTTTCCCTGCCTTAGTTCAATTCCACTGCAGCCGGTGTGCTCGCATTTCGCTTCACGGACCTCATTCGATCAAAATCGGCGCTGGCTTTGTTTCCCCCTTTCGCAGGTAAACCTTCTTTAGGGTTTCTCCAGGGGTTCTTTAGGGATTCTTTTGGGTTTCCTCTAGGTGTTCTTTAGGGTTGCTGTAGGGTTTCTTTAAGGTGTTTTTAGGGTTTCTTTAGGGCCGGTCAACATATTCGGGATGGTTGTTACGGTCGGGGTAGTCTGCAAGGTTGCGATGTATACCGCCCCGATCCAACCACTGTAGATTTCGATCCGGCCGCGCCGATCCAACCAATCTTGATTCCGATCCAACGACCCCGGTCCAACCAACACCCAGGATTTTGTGATGGTTATACTGTGCAACGTACCAATCTGTCAAACCACGCGAGGGCACGCTATTGACGAGCCCATGGAAGAGGACTTGGCAGAAGTGCGAGCAATGAGGCTGAAGGCGTCGACTTGTGCAGCTTAAATCGCATCACTTTGGAGGTTCTGTATGATTTCTGTGTGCTGAATGGCTTGACTCATTTGACCTTTGCCTACCCAGAATCTGCGAGGCAGTTTGGTGCTTCCACTTGTGCAACTGCTGGACGATTATGATCGTCTTTGCTTACGCCTTTGTGCGAGCTTATGTGACGGTCTCAGTCAGCAGATGTCAGCAACCACATCTGTGATCCTGAGATGACGCTTACGATATTGAAATGGACGGACCTGAGAAACTATCATTCCACATCATTCCATAAATTTATACATACATAATCATACATAGGGTAGATGGGTGCGGGTACCGCTATGGGTACGGTATGTGTACCCGCCCCGCATCCGAACCCGTACCCGCACCCAAACCCGCTCAGCAAAAAAACCATTTGCACCCCACGTCATGAAACTAATAAGTATAATAGAAACATGGTTTTCTTTGCATGTTCATACCATTCAATGATATTCAATGTGTATTAGCAGGCATATCATGCACCCACGCAACGTGCCTATATGAGCCTATATGTACCTACTTCTCACAGGGCCACTAGAGCATTCCTCTTGAAATGAGCTAAATCATTTTACAACTTATACATTCTCATATGCGTATGTATACATGAATACTGACACAAAATATGTCATGTAGTTTTATTGGCATGGATATTTGCATAAAATCAAACACCCGTGCGTGCGAACATACATCGCAGAGAGAGGGAGGGAGAGCGAAAGAGATAAACAGCACAACCTATGCTGAGCCGCCTCCTCCCGGCTCTATCATTCTTGCCTACGTACGTCCATGTATATATTTGTCTGTGTTTATCAGACTTTTCGTTCGCACCATGTGTGCGTGTGCCTGTCAACGACGTGATGTTACATCAATACAGGACACGCAGACACACTAACATATATGCACACACTTGCTCAGAATTGTCTTATCGAATTGTGAAGAGGAGCGCGTCGGACGTCAAAAAAACACTGACAAAACAAATTGACACGATGAAAATGAATCAATTTAAATATGTCTAAATAAATAAATAAAGAAAGAAAGAAGAAATATAGAGAGAGAGAGCAGGACGCTGTGGGAGTGCACTTTCCTTGTTGTTGTTTCAAAACTGTAATCACATTAAAGCTTAAGCTACAGATGAAGCTGCGTTCATTTCCACTAGAGAGCATGTATTTTTTGAAGAAGTGTCCAGGCGTTCACTCTTGGATAAATGCTACTACATTGTCCCTTCAACAAAACACAATTTCTGCAGAATATGCCAGATGACTTCAACATACTGTAATTACAACATCCCCATACCTGCCAACAAATGCAGTATTCAAAACAAACATATCCTTCTGAATAAGAGTAATCTTCCTTTGGGGCAATGCAGTGTGTTTTTGCAGGGACAATATCCAAACAAAATATGAAGTATTCCTTGAAAAGTTGCACCATGCCCTTTGAAGGGGTGCAGTGTGCATTTCCAGGTGTTTAACCTTCCTTTCAAAGGAGCAGTCCCCCTTTTAGAAAAGGCAATATTTCTGCATGATAGATGCAGTATTATTATATTGACAAAGGGCATCCCTTTCAAAAGTGCAATATGTTTGAAACCGTGAGCACTACCATATGTTCAAACAATGTTTGACTGTCTTAAGATTTAAACATGCACACTCTTCAAATTACAATATTTTTCGAGAGGGGAGCTGCCTACACCAAAGGGTGTTATTCCCAAAATATGGCTCGTTGTCTTGGAAGAATAACACCATTGTGAAAGACATATCTTACGTGCTTACATGTACCATGCGTTCTTAATTAAAAACATATTTTGTGAAAAGGGCATTGCATGCGCAAGAGGCTTCATTTTTGACATAGAAGTAGACTAAGACATGACCTACTTCAATGGGATGCTCTACCGGGCTCTATTATTTAAATTCAGACGTCCAGTCGGTCCGCATTCACCTTAAGAAAAGTTCCCTCAATTGGGTCCATGGCACCATGTCGGAGCCACCGTGGAAATCACACTAGAATAGAACTGGATCATTGGAGTGATCCGTCTGGAACTGAATCCCAAAACGTGCAATTAAACAAGATAGATCGATCGATCGATAGGTAAATAGATAGATCTATATATTTATATGTCCAGAAAAAATATATATATATACATGCATATATATGGGCAATGGTGGCCACCAGCTGCGACTTAAATGCGCCCGGTGCGCCACCAAAGCCCCGCAGGTACGTTTACACGGGTCCCGGGGAGGTGACTTCGTTGATTACTGACTCCCCGGGACCCCGGTGATCCCCTGCGATAAAGTATAAATAGTAATTTAAGCAGCCGCGACGTTTTACGTCTGTTCAGACGTTCCACACACACACACTAGACAAGAATGGATCATGTAAGTGATCCGTTGGGAACTGAATCCCATCACATGCAATTAGATTAGAATTATATATATTTATATATGGGGCTATGGTGGCCACCAGCTGCGGCTTATATGCGCCCAGGTGCGCCACCACAGTCCCGCAGGTACGTTTTCACGGGTCCCGGGGAGGTGTCTTCATTGGTCACCGTCCCCCCTGCTTTTCAATATAATATTATGTCTAATATAATAATATATAGATGAATTGCCAACGAAGTTTTACGTCTGTTCAGACGGTACACACGCACACACACACACCCGGCCTTTGGCAGGGTGGTGTCCTTGCAAATGAGGTGAAGATGAGGATGAAAAGGGGAATGAAGATGAGATGAGAGTGAAAATGAGATGAAGGATTACTTAAGCGGGACCCGAGGAGGGGAACGCAAAGAAGAGGGACAGAGCAAACACCAACACCAACACCAACACACCTGGCCAAGAGCGGGCAAAGACTGAAAGGGCAAGGGAAAAGAAAAGCGGAGGCCGACGGACACGGAACAAGACCAGCGGAGGGGGGGGGAAGACGGAAGCGCCTGAACCAACCTAACACAGCGAAAACCTACGCCTACCTCGGCACGCACAGGAAATAGGGGACCGAATGGGGGACTAGTTGGTGAACAGAAGAAAAAACAACGATTAAATGGGATTCAGAGTGATTCAGCTCACTCCTAAAGTAATCGTGCGTTACTCCCGACCAAACACACGGGAGCACGCATGAAATAAGGGACCAATGAGGGCATAGTTGCAATATGACGCATCCAACTTCCAATGCAGAACCCCCTCATCAGCCACAACGGCCAAAGAGATTAATTCAACCCTTGGACAGCTGACGTATTCAACCCTTGAATTAATGCACAACTGCACCTCACTAGAGGCCATAAAACACCACACCTGCAAGCATGGCCTTTGCCTGCCATGTCAGTACAGTGCGCAGCTGTCTCTCCGGCAAAGTTGGAAAAGGTCCAAGTTCAACAGTCATCTGCATTGGCAATCTCGCAAGTGAAAGAAGGTGAAGCCCGGTACTGCGGCCAGTTGTTCAGCCAGCTGTTTCACTTTACTTAGATGAATTACCATCTTAAAGTACCTCACTCCACGTTTCGGATTCACGGGTCCGACGTGCTATACCTAAACAGCCTAAACAGCTATTCCCCGAAGCGCTCGCATCATCTTGTCGCAGCCGACATGAGCCACACACCTGCTCAGAATTGTCTTATCGAACTGTGAAGTGGAGCGTCCGATGTGCAAAAAACACAAACAAAACAAATTGTCATGATGAAAATGTATTTACATACATACATACATACATTTTTACATACATAAATACATATCTACATTTATACATAAACACATATAAACATATATACCTATATACATATATACATTTTTACATTTTTACAAATATACCTAATCACATATATTCATATATACATAAATACATATTTCCATTTTTACATATATACCTAAGTACATATAAACCTAAGTGCATATTTACGTATATACACAAATACACGGATACATTTATACATATAAACATATATACATATATACATTTATACAAATATACATATATACATATATACATGTATACATGTATACATGTATACATGTATACATGTATATACATATATACCTAAGTGCATATTTACATATATACATAAGTACATGGATACATTTATACATATAAACATATAAACATATATACATATATACATATATACGTATATACATATATACATATTTACATTTATTTACATACATGTTTATACATACATACGTACATAACATAACATAACATAACATTACCTAACCTAACATCACATAACATACATACATACATACATACAAACATCCATATCATACATTCATGCATGCATGCATGCATGCATACATACAGACATACATACATGTACAAGTGCACATATTTACATTTGTTCATATATACATATTTACATATATCAACATAATTAAACAAATATAAGCGTTTGTAAGCATATATAAATATGCATATATATATATGTGTGATTATTTAAATTCATTTCTGATCACAGGAGACTTCGGCAATATACAACAACAGCGATATACGATATGTCCCCCCAGCTGCGACTTCAATGCGCCCAGGGGCGGGACTTTATAAATACTTATGCAGGTACAGGAGTGTGTGTCCACACCCCAATCCGGCTGAACCCCTTAGCTTCGTTGGCATGGCTAGGGAAACAGGCGCCATGTCCCCTGCAGAAAGTAGAGGTTTTTTATCTACTCAGATTGCACAGGCTCACACGCACACGCACGCGCGCGCGTGCTCGCGCGTGCAAACATAGCAAAAGATCCATTTGCAATGCACCTTGAATCTTTCAAGCGTTCCAAAGACTTGAAAATTCCACCCGCTGATGTGTTCCATCACTGGCGCAACTTTCGTTGGAGAAAACGTATTCTGTAAAAAAACAAATGTTTTTCAACAAACAGACAGCCTTCTGGAGAAGAACATGCTACCTCCCACGGAAACGGCACCACTGACCATTGCATTTCATTCATGACGAAAACAGTGAACAAATGAGCAATTCCCTGACCCGAAACTAATGTTTGGTAGGTTTTCCTATTTGTTTGTTTGTCGTGTTTTGCTGTTTGGTCCATTATGGCCAATGTATGTATGTTGACACTTATGTTTTCCTATCGAGTGCTCAGTCTGGACACCCATCGGCATACATCCACAAACGTCTCAAGTACGTGACGATACATTAGACGTGATACTTTGATATGTGTGTATTCATATTGTTGTCCATGTTGTGAGTGTTATTGAGTGTTCAAACACGCGCAAGGTGAAAACAATTAGGTGACAGACCCAATGTTGTGCAATGTGTCTTGCATCACCGGACATTTGCCCCAAAATTTTATTTGCCCCAGTTGTAGCAGAGTTATCACGTATTCTTGGAATTTGTTTTTTTTTTGGCCTCGGCAGCGTGACTTACTCTGTCGATAGGCAATCTAGCCATGTTTACAATGCAACTTCCAAGTTCCCCCGCCTCTTTATTGTTTTCTCATGAAAAGATAAATTTGATTCCATGGAATTGTCTTGCCTTGAACATAAAAGATGCGTGTATATGCGTGTAGTGGCATATAAATAGTTCGCGAAGATCAAAGCATGATCTGATTCACTGGTTCCATCTTCGCACTAGGTGTGGTCCTGCTACAGACGATTCAATTGGCTGACGATGGCTGTTCTCAACAACGGCACTTCCGAGCAAACCGAACCAACGCATTTTCCCATCAGCTTCCACGACATGGCAAAAATTGGCGAGCAATGCGAGGTGCTTTGCTCAGATCGTTTTCTCACCACACTCTACAATTCTTCAAGATTGCCTCCAATTTCTGGGCAGGCAGAAGTGAAAGGGACGGGCCTTCAAGGTTCGACTTTACACGGCCACACCGCAATTTTTTGAAAGTGTGTGAATCCATGTTCAAGTTGCCTTGCAGCTAGTTTTGCAGGTGTCCCTTGTAGGCCAAGCTTAGATCAGATCAACCTGCTGTGCTAGGAGCCCAGTGCTTCAGTGAAATTACAAGTGTTCTGCAGACATGTTTCCATTCCAGAGCCCAAAGTCCATATAGATTTGGATGATTTGGATTTCGGTCCGTCCTCCAAAATCATGATTTTGCTGCCTATGCTGCAGGCAATCAGGGCATTTGTTCAGTCAACTGGGATTGGCGGCCACTTGTGGCAAGTTCAGAATCACAGAACTGGTGCGATATAAAGGTACTAGCTCACAATTTCTTGATGGACATGGCCAACCATGGCCAAAAGCTTTTGCTGATTACGGATTTATTGCAAAGCTGGCCTGATTTGTAGCACCTTCATTTGTGATGTTCAATGATGTTCGGCCTGTGCACCTGCGATTGGCGCTCAAGATGTGCCAGGAGGATGTGTTGGGGGAGAATCAGGTCGGGTGCCTCAATCACAGGCATCCTTGAGCATATCTTAGCACACACCAGGTACTTCAGGTTGTCAGCCCCAAGGTCGGGATACCGTGCTTACCGGGCATTTGCAATGTGAGACAGAAGCTCGTTGAACACGCCGGGACCCCAAGGACACCCAGGAACGCCTGGGAACACCATGCCAACAAGATCAAATGGGATGAAACAGGATCGAATACGCAAAACGAACGTGTCAGATGCACTCAGGAGTGGACCTTGATTGGTATTTGCATTGGTATGTTTGTGAGCAATTGCTTGCTTCGTCCACCTGACAAGTTTCAGCAAGAACTGAATACTGGAGATCCTGGATCAGCCGCTAAGACAGTGTGTTGAAAGCGACTACTAGTGCTAGAAGACGACTGCTGTACAGCCACAGAAAGAGAAAGAAGGGGGAATAATTTTGCCGTTTTGCTTGTCCTGCAGTGGCAGTAGTACATGTTTGTTGGTCAGTGACATCTAACAAGCATTGCTAACATGCAAGCAAGAGAATCGTGAAGGTGATGTTGTATATATATATATGATATGTACTATTATTATTATTTATTATTTATTATTATTATCATTATTATTATTACTATTTATCATTATTATCATTGTTATTATCATTATTATTATCACTATTTTTTATCATTATTATTATCATTATTGTTATCATTATTATTATTATCATTATTATTATCATTATTATTATCATTATTTTATTAGAATCATTATTATATATTATTATTATATGCAGGATCTTCCTCAAACCAGCTGATACAAGAGCAGCTTGAGGATTTTGATTTGATAGGCTTTCAGCTCTTTGATTACTTATGACAGGGAACGGCATGACTTGGTTTTGGTATGGTTGCCAGGATGGTGCATGGATGCAAGGATCCGGCAAGTGAAAGCGGGCTCCCAAGGTTGGCTTACTTCGTAACCAATTCTGGAGACTTTGGGACTAAGGCACGGAAGCTTCTAGACAGACAGCACCAAGCAGAAGAGTTCAGGAAGCAAAAGCGGGACCAGTTCCTTGCCTGGAGAGAACTTGCCACCTAGCGTGCTAACAACTAGGTTGGTCCGCAGAGAGCTGGACAGAAGGGCTTCCAGAGTGAACTGTCACTATGTTGGACAGCTTTCTACCTACAACTTTGGCTGAAGCATGCAACTGATGAGGCAATTGCGAAAGAACGCATGGTGGTGAGTTGCAACTAACCCAGACCGGCCAGGCAATTCGAGCAAGCGGGAGTTTAACACAAAGTGGCTAAATGGCCACTTGAATTACATAATGTGCTTTGAATTGGGGTTGCATTTGAGTGTCTTTGACCACAAGCTGTGATTTAAAGTTCTTTGACCTTGAACAGGGGATATGACTTTGGCCCAACAATGCACAAGTCCGCATTTTTTGCCAGCACATTCCATCCAACAGAGATGGCAAACGATCAAACGCAGATTGTGACGGAAAATTGAAACATGTGCCACAGACACGTGCCCACCTACACATTGCACCATGCACAGGTGATCACAGGTGGCTCACAAATCATTTTAAATCAATAATTACAATTGGAATGTGCGTATAACATTGTATAACCAACACAGGTGGTCACTCCTGTCTTGCGACGGCCATTCCTCTCTTTCAACATGATTAGGTGTTGCAGCAAGAGCTTGCAGTATGGATACAGGAAGAAATGTTCGTGTTCATGTACTCGAAGCTTTTTGTCCAAGGATCAGAGAAATGCTTGTGTGTACAACAATATGGCCAACGTGCATTTCCAACCAGTCCTTGAAAATTTGCCTGTTTGACTTGCTGAGCATGGCTTCTCTGGACAAGCAAGTGCATCAACATGACCATGAACAATCAACGGACATCCATGCTGGCTTTGGTTCGCACCAGAGCACAAACCTCAAGCGCAGAAGAGATTAGGACTTGACCACATGGCTTTGGTAGTGTCAAAGATGCAATTTCAAAATTGGAAGCTGGAGTTCTGGCAATCCCCTCTCCTGCCACGACATGCAGTTCCAGGCATTTGTGATTTTGCATTGAGATTATGTTTTAGTTCAAAGGTCTTCAGTGCCTGCAAGAGTTTGAGTCTTCTTTCTCTCCATTGCAGGGCTTCGGTGCAAGCTCAGGCTGGATTGTGCAGATTGATGGATGGAAGACATGCTTTTCTCCTACAGGATAGGAAACCATGGCAGCACTTGAAGTACACACCTCTGTATGTTGGCCGTTCATTGCCAGGCATTCAGTTGTTAATTTGCAGGCTGTGCAAGTGGCTGTGGTGGGAGCTGTAATGGAGCATCGCTTCCACAGCCGATGAGTATACTGGGCATGTTTTTTTGTGAAGCTGGCAAAATGTCCCTGATGCTGTTATTGGTTTTGTATGAAGATAAAAGCACAACATGGCAGGCCAAGCAGTTGGGGGCCTACTACATCCTACTACAGACTTGCAATCAACTTGAGGAGCACTTCTTTGGAATTGAAGTTGCAGGATGCAGGTCCAACTTAGTTTGTGCAAATGTGTGGTCATATTGTCCTTCTCGAAGAAGCAAGATGAATCTCTTGAGGCTCCATCACAAACACCAACGCCTCTTTTGCGGATTAGAGCGGGCATTGAGGCTGGACGCCAAGAGAATTCCGAGCAGTGCTGATGTGCTTTTAAATTTCGAAAACAGCATAGCCTCAGGGTGTCACCTTCCCCTTCTTTCTTTGCAACTTTATGCAATGCTGAGAGCAGATCACAAGGGCCATCCATGGTCAGTGCTCTGTGGACTGACCAGATATCCAGAATCTGTGGGTTGTCATTTTGATTTACCCTATGGCTTTATGGTGTGTGGCGGCCATGCTACAACCAGTGAAATCACGTGGGCTATACTACGTAGTGTGAGTAGTCGGGTTAACGTGTATTTGGTTTTGCTTTAGCAGCGAAGAATTATCCTTTACAATCCTTTACATTTCCCCATCACTTTCAGCAGTTAAGGAATTCGCCTAGGTGAGGCAGTTTAAGGCATTTGCGTGCGTGCAGCATGTGAGATTGTCACTGTCACGAGGCTGGCAATCATGCAGAAGTCACTGCAGGAGTGCAAGAGGCACGGGCGCCAGGGTACAATGATGTGCAGAGGAAGGAGGTGGCAACTTCAAGACTTCGGCTGTTGTCGTCGCCGTTGCCAAGTTGTCCTCGTCACGCTGCTTATGGCAACTGTATCCGTGTCCGCTCACAATCTGATGGAGAGCTGGTCAATTGAATCAGAGCTGCAAGGCGGATCAGCAAGGTGTGACCTTGGCTCCCAATGTACGAGAGATGATCTCTCAATGGCTTGCCGTCTCCCAGCCATGCCTTAGAGGCTTTTTTGTTGGCCTCATAGAAAATTTCAAGGTGCAAAGTTCAATTTCCGCCAGGTGAACGCACCCAAAAAGCCGTGCCATGTCTGCATTTAGCTTTCGCATTCAGACTTGATGTTCTGAAGTTGAGTGAAAGGGTGTTTGTGTAGTCGAAGCGACTTCGTGGTTAAGAGGAGCTGGACAGTGATGCATGCTCGGATTTCATGTCAAACAACGGATTGATAAGATGCTCAAATGCTGTCATGAGGCTGGAAAGGCCGCCACCTCCATCACCTCCAGAGCCAGCTCCTCCTGCTCCAGGACACATAACAAGATCTCCTCAAAGCGCATTCATTGCATTGGCAAATTCTTGGAACAAACCAGAACATATTGGAACTGCTGGCCAGAGATGTTCAAGGCTTGGATACTCATGATACTCCAACCTAGTATATAGTTATTTACATTGATTGTCAAGACCTGAGCTATCATGTGACAATTGGGTCCGCCTCTCGCGCAGTACACTGAGGTGTTGTATTTGTTTCGCAAACCGAGCAGCAGAGTCAAGTCGGAGAGACCCCCGCCTTTCAGAACACTCTGCAGATGGGAACTCCGAAAACTCAAATTCTGCTGCGCTGGAAAATTACACAAGGGCTGTGAAGCCCTTTATTGGTTCGCTCCATATTTATGCTTAACTACCGAATTCTTAGGTGGAAGCATTTCTAGATCATGTTACAACTGGTATTTGCAACCACACTAGGCGGCACTATATTTGAACAACTTGCATAAGAGAGAGGCAAAGGATTGTGTAGTGGTGCGTATGAAGAGCCACTAGTATGCACGTTTAAGGTGATCGAGTTCAGCGGCGCACTTTGTGCCAAAAACTAGCATGATGGCTCACCCATAGAACTTGCACTGGTATGGCGTATGGCAGATAGAGCACACACGGATGGCTGGGTTGAACATTCGCGCATGCTCAAGTTTATCAAGCGACCATCAGTCTTTTGCAGAGCTGGTGACGGGATGTGACGGGTCAAAGGTCAGGAAGGAAAAATCCACTCATTTTGGCAGAAGAAACTCGAAAAAAATGTCGCTGGTACTATACATAGACTCGACCTGCTTGGATGATTGAAAACACATGTTGCAGGCGTCTAGCAACTTGCTGCCAAAAAAACTTGTTCTTGGTTCTTTTTGCTTGCAGATGTTCATGCTGGTTGGCTTTTTTGATTGGGGTATATAAGCCTAAGCGCTGACACATGTTGTTGTTGTTGTTGCCTTGGACAACGTCCTGCCCAGACATGTCAAAAGACTTAATTCCAGAGCAGATAGTCGCGTGATAATTTCATTTGCTACTTGTAAGGAAATGAAGTCTTTGTCAACTTGTGAAAAACACGGATCCAACGGCAAATATGAACAGGTGAAACGCATGTTTTGAAGTCACGGGCCAGTGTGACTTTGAGTTTAAAGGGCCAGGGCCAGTTCGGTCTAGGCCTAGACCTGACGCAGCGGTAATACCGCGCAACTTGATGGTATTGCGATTGTTCTTGGAATTGCTTCCCAGTCTACAACATTCATGCATGATATTTGCAATGGTGCTTACTAAGCCTTGCAAGTATGATGGTTGATATTTGTTTTGCAAGCGAAGGACCTGATGCTCAAAACGAGCCCCAAGCAGCAACTACTGCTGAAAAGCTTCGGAATGCGCTCCTCAGGCACCCCATAAGTTGCATGTGTTTTGACATGTTTTGACGACTTTGCAGCTTCGACTTAAATGTACGAAACTTGTGGATACATACCAGCAGTACCCGCACGAGGCGGGGCGGAAGTTGCCTTAGGGATATACTATAAGACCTTTCTCATCTATAGAACTTGCATGCGCCGTGCGCCAGCCAGGCCCGTGCGTGCATTCTGCGAAAGTGGTGTCCTGTTTCAAATGTCACACTTGAAGCTCCACTTCACACTTCACACTTCTCACAGCACTCTTCGCACTCCACACTTCACACTCCACACTTCACACTTGACACTGCACTCTTCGCACTCCACACTTCACTTCACACTGCACTCTGAAGACTCCAGACTGCACACTTCACACTCCACACTTCACACTTCGCACTCCACACTTCACAGTTCTCACTGCTTTCTTCACACTTTCACATTTCACACTCCACACTTCACTCTTCACACTGCACTCTTCACGCCCCACACTTCACACTTCACACTGCGCTCTTCACACTCCACACTTCACACTCCACACTTCATCTCATCTGAGCTCTTCTCGCCTTTATCCCAGCTCATCTCTTCTCATCTCACCTCTTCTCGTATGTCATCTAAACTTTCAGAAGCCACTTCCCAATACTACTTCGCACTACAAGACTTGCACAAAGTACTTCCCTACTACGTTGTACTACAAACCTTGCGCAAAGGACTTCCCAGTAGGACGTTGTGCTACAGAGCTTGCACAAAGTATTTCACAGTACCGCGAGACTTGCACAAAGCACTTCCCAGCACTTTGTACTACAAAGCTTGCACAGCGCACTTCCCAGTACTACTTTGTACTACAAAGCTTGCACAAAGTGCTTTCCAGTACTACTTTGTACTACAAAGCTTGCACAAAGTGCTTCCCGGCACTACTTTGTCCTACAAAGCGTGCACCAAGTACTTCAGGACTACCTTGTACTACAAAGCTTGCACAAAGTAATTCCCTGTATTTATTTCTTTGTACTACAAAGCGTGCACACAAGCAAGCTTTTACACAACGAAGATTTTACACAGAGAAACTTTCTGGTACATCATGGCAGCAGAAAGTGCAGCTCCAAAACAGGATCCCGGCGCCAAAGCGAAAAAAAAACGATTTGGAAGCACTTTCTAAAGAATTTTTCAAAGGAAAATCCAAACGCCAAACTTGAAAAAAAATGCTGACAAATCACTATCGCAGCCTTGATGCAGCCATTCCATTACGATTTTCAATGCCCAGCTGCAAGGGACAATAGTATTACGCATGCAGTCGCGGCAACAAGCAACCTTGACGCAGCAACTACAATGCGATATCGAGATATTGAATTGCAAAACACAATAGAACGACGCGCAACGGTGTGAGAAACTGCACATCCAAAGCCAGATCTCGGCGCCAAAGAAAAAAAAACACGATTTTGAAGCACTTTTGAAAAGGAATTTGAACGGAAAATCACCAGCACCAAAATTGAGAAAATTTGCTGACAAATCATTATCGCGGCCTTGATGCAGCCACTCCAATACGATTTACAATGCCCAGCTGCAAAAGACAATAGTATTACGCACGCAGCTGCGGCACCAAGCAGCCTTGACGCAGCCATTACTACTAATGGCAATACCAGATGACAACAATCATGCAGCCATTCCAACGCGATCTGCAACCACAGATTCAAGAATCGCATAGAACTACGCACGCATGAACAACCACACGTTGCAGAACACCAAGGGGGAACGGATTCGACGAAACGAGCGCAGCCGCACAAGCCGCACACACGAGGTACCTTTCATCGCCGGCTGAAGCCGCTTTCCACGGAAAAACACAAGGTTTCGTTCTCCGGCTTCCTCCCCAACACAAGCCCCATGCAACATTCATGCAGCCATTACACTGCGTTTTGCAGCATCACGTGGCAAACACGCATCTCTCTACGCACATGGCAACAAAACATGACAAGAATCTCGCACCACCCTAAATGAATGTACCGTTATTGGATGTAAAGTCTCACATGGCCCTTCATGAATGTATTGTTATGTGATGTAAAAGTCTCACGCCGCCCTTCATGAACGTATTGTTATGTGATGTAAAGTCTCACACCACCCTTCATGCATGTAAAGTTTCACACCACCACCCTTCATTGAGTAAAAATCATCCGTAACTCGGAAGATTGCTTCCCAACTTCCTTTGTCTATGCATGAACACAGTGAATGCACCTCATTGCAACAAGACTGTTTGATAAATTATGACCCAGAACATCCCAGCACACTGTATGTGTTGGTCCATGCTCACAAAAAGGTTTTTCGAGCTGGCTCCAAAAGACAGTGATGCAGCAGCTGGTTTGGGGTCCGGGACTAATGGGGCAGTGGGCAAGGTAGGGTCTTTAGCCAAGAGCAGATAACACAATGAGTTCCTTTGCCCTACCATTTTCGCTGAGGATATTCGAAGGTGAAGATGGACAAAGGCGAAGCAATGTGCAAAACCTAGGGTTTGACTGCTCAGTTTGATGAGCGTCTCTGCCAGGTATTTGCCCTTGCCAGTGCTGGGTAGGGCTGTTGGAATCACGGGAGAAGACTTCGAAGTGGCCATGAAGGCTTGGAATGTTGTCAACGAGGCAGGCGTGGGAGTTGTGTGACTGCGTGGTGTTGAGTCCGATCAAGCACAAACCAGAAAGTAAAGATGTTGTTCACATTTAAAGGCTGGTGAGATGTACAGCATTCCAAGATATCCATTTGATTGTGGTTTCGCAGCTTCTGCTTTGTCTCTTTTCCTCAGACACCAGCGGGCACATTCACCCTGACAAACGATGCACGGGCAGTGGGTCCATTTCTCAAAGTCAGCTTTTGAAGCTGAGTTGTGAAATAACAAAAAATATTCCACAATGTTGATGAGACTGCAGAGAAAGCCACTGGCTTCGAGTATCAACATGAGGCTGCCAGCTATTTCACGAAAGTGTTCGGTTCCTTTTTGATTCTTTGCATTCACATCATGGACATGTGGTTTTGTGTCTTCAATGTCCATTGTTTTCATTATTTTATATTATGTTCATGATGTTCTTTATTGTTGCATTTTCATATTTTTGCATATGTTTGCATGAGTGCTTCAGATGAGATTGAATGTGTTTGGTGGCAAATGGTGGCAATCCTATGCAATCTTGAATCTCTACTTTGATCTTTGGAAGCAGGGAGGTTCAAACAAATGTTCCCTATTACTAAACCAACCCGAAAAACAAATTTAAACGAGTTTAAATCAAACCCTAAACACGCCCTAAATAAAACTTGAAATACTTGAAATAGATAAATAAATGTGTTCTACACCATTAAATAAATCTGAAGTAAACCTTAAGTTTACGCTTAACCAATCCAAACCAAACCCTAAATCAACTTTAAATTTCAACCCAAAACCAAACATAAATACAACTGTACACCAACAAAAGACCAACCCTAAACAATTTTTGAACAACAAAAAACAATCCAAATACCTTCAACCAAGCCGAAACAAAACCTGCAGCAGCCCTGGCAAATTTCTATTTTCTACACTAATTGACACTACGTTACCACTATAACTCCACTCCACTACACTACAGCTACAACTGCAACTACAACTGCACTACACCACACTACATCCAGCAGTTGTGGTAAGGTGACCACTGCAACCATTGCAACCATTGCATTCACTCCAAAAAACACAACTCCAACCACCTGTCGGTCCATCAGTGGATTCGCTCTGCCATCCGTGAGTCACAACAACCAATCTCTCCTATAGGTTTCCGGTTTCCTATGTTTGAAACTTCCGCCACCGCCTCGTGCGGCACTACTGGTATACGTATTGTGACGTGTTGTAAAATATTGAACATGTTTGAACTTTGATTCAGGACGATGTGTTGTCGATCGTCCTCGGTCTTCTTGTGACACGAGACATAGCATATGTGTGTTCTTTCACTTCAAATTGAGTAGAATGCTGAAAAGATGAAACTAGATACAAAAGCACGTGAAAAAAACAACAAAGAAAAACTTACATTCCGAAATACCGGCAAGAAAGACTTTAGGACAAAACCTGGGGTCAAGCATGCTTGCAGTATCTTCATGTTGTCCTGTTGTTCGTGTTTTGGGGACATCTGGTTTCAAGATTCTAGATGTTTGGTTTTATTTTGGTATCGGTGCTGCAGTCAATTACAAAATTACATATGTTTGTTTGTTAGGAAATATGAATTGTTTTCTTCTGTCCTGCGTCTCTGCCACATTTGCACGCATGAAACCCTCTAAGCAGGTAGGCATTTCTGATGGTTAATAGTACGTGTGAAATATACACACATACATGGTGTGAAAGTGTGTGCAGCTAAGGTGTATCAAGGTAGAAACACTACGAATGTGTTTCAGTTTATGTGATGTTGATGTTTTTGTGTCGTGTTCAGACCGTCCTCGTGGTGCTTCAATTTTGCTGCGCCAAGGCTTAGTGGAGTGGGCCGGTTGGGAGGACTCAGAAGCTGCTGCGCTTTAGTGCAAGTTGATGCGGTTGATGCTGATCCGCGCAGCCCAGATTCGTTTCTGCTTGCAACTACCTTTTGCATCCTCTTGCACTCTCTGCCTGTCAGGAGTTTTCAACCTCGCTCGATGTCATTGTGAAGGGCACACGTGATCCAGCATTTGAGCCCCGGCAGGGAGACTCAGTATTGGACCCAAGGTGCAGACCAATTGATTCCTATCCATCTCCTTTGCAAAGTTTTTATCAAGCGTAATGGGATTATCACCGCAAACCTTCGCAGCAAAACGTAATTGCGAGAAATACGTATGGTTGTGTAGTGCTCGCAAGTATCACAATCTTTAGAACGTGCCTACCACTCTCTGAGTGTGTGCGAGAGATTCAGCCATTTCCCAGATCAAATTGACTTGGCTGCACTTCTAGATGCTTGTGCTCCCTTATATCGAGTTTGTGGGTCTTCCCTAGACAGGCTCGAACAACTGGATTGTAAAGCTAATGTGCGCGCGTCCTTTTTCGACATGGTTTGATGCAATCTACTCGCCCCTTGTTTCAGGTCGATTCAAGGACATGTTGCAAGAGCAGCTTGTGGTGCAGTTCGGTCTGGACCATTACGTCAAGCAGATGTTCTTCGCAGGCTTCAGGAGTGAATTCCGAATGTTTCAAGGGTACCCGTACCTTCAACCTTCCAGTGCCTGCAGGAGCTTTCATCAGAGAATTTACCTCAGGACATCTGTTGGAACTGCTTGCTGAATTTTGAGGTTCCCTGCTCCAAGATAAAAATTAATTGGATCTTACTTGCGAGAAATTTAGTCTGCAGGATGCAGCGCCTGCGCTGAAGAGTGCAATCCTTCGTAGAGCACGACTTGCTCTGGCGTGCGACATTCAGAGCCTGTGCATGTCCGCTTATTGAGGATTTTGTCCGGGCATGACTGAAATGTATCAAGTCAAGGCATTCAAGGCATAACTGGCAGTTTTGCCAAAGGAACAGCGCACATGGATGTGGAAAACTTAAGGTTTAGTATGACCGTCAAAAGCCCACACATAGGATACACTGTAGAACCCAGCTGTAACAGGTGCTTGGTGGATGCAATTGCATCGCAGGGGCTTGGCCCACAGGCCTGCATCCCGCTGAATCGGCAGAGAAACTCCAAGCGTAGCAAATAGATGTAAATGGGGACACTGGTGCGGAAAGAATGCCAGAACGAGCTGCAGGCTGGCCTTGACTCTATGGGACTTGTTGGGCAGCTTCCAAGGACGGCAAAATGACGTGTAATTTTCATGTGCACATGTGAACCTGGGAAAACGCAGCAGGAAAATCGATCAATTTGAGGGCATGCAAAATGGTACCGCTGATTGAATTTTAAGAGTCATCGTCCTTCTGGTCCTTTTGGCGGTACTACTGAGAAGTCTCCCCATACTATTTGTATCGATTTGCTGTTTTGTCTTATTTGTATTTATTTGTCTCAACTCCATTCTGGAGGACTCTCTTCGGAATAATATTCGATGAACCTTGGCAGCAATGATTTTCCCAGTCGAATGGAAGGCCGTTCGTGTAGAGACAAGATTAAAACGTGAATAAGGGTAAATGGCGAAGCTTCAGCTTATAAGAAAACGACACTGCCAGTTTGACACTTGCATGTTAGGAAGGACAGTTTGGTTCTAATTCACTGATCAGAGGATCATGTCTTGGGTGTCTCTGGCCTAGGTCATAGTGCACTTCGCATAATCTCCCTGTTTTTCTCCAAGATTTCCCATGAAAATCTTTGCCAGAACATCGATGATCGAGACCGTGGAGCTTGTGCATTCTTGGGTGAGGCCTTTGCCTCAGGAGGTATTGATATTGATACGGGTGATGTAATTAGTAGATGTAGATGCAGCGGATGTCACTGGATATCGCTGGATGTCAGTGGACAGGTTGGTGTTGCACTTCATTTAGTTGATTTTACTATGTTTTCAAAGTTTGAGTGATGTTTCTTGTGTCTCCTACTGGGATCTCTGATCTGTTCAGGAGTGCTTTCACCTCATGTGATGCGTTTATGATGCCTTCCATTGCATAGCACAGCTCTGTTGAACCATCTTGAACCTTTTCGAATGCCAGGTTCTGCAGTCCTGGGATCGACGGCGTTGCTTTTCAAAGCGGTGGCTCCAGGACCGCAGTCTTCGTGAATCTTTATGTTTTGCTCATGCAAAGAATATCAGACGAAGCACCTTGTTCAGGATGCCGCGGGCAAGTTCTCCATGCCCAAGGGGCCAAATTCCGAGCGGGACGAACGACGTGGCTGGTCAGCCCCATTAGCGCTTTATGCAAACTGGAAGGACACGCATGAGCAAACTGACGTTCCCAACATTATGGAGCTAGTGGGAGTGCATTTGTTTCTTTGTGAGAAGTCAGGATATTTGGGCCACATTGCCAGAAATTCCTTGGCACTTGCACTGCACAAGCTGTGGAGGTATGCGCTGACTTCAGAAAATTTACACAGAAAACCTGCAGAGGAGCTTGGGAATTTATTCGGTCAAGAGTCAAGACCGTCAGCCGTCAGTACACTGCACAACATTGCTAAGCGGTTTCTCCTCAGAAGATGCAGTCACAGACCACTTGGCAGGATGCCCAAGCGCCGAACGCCCCCAAGGCCCAATCCTTCTTGAGTTTGCGACTTAGTTCGGGCCACGTGTGCCTATGTTGCCGAGTTGGGCATTGGTTGCTTCGATATGTTTGTAAAAGTCGATTTTACACGAATTGCATATGCAAAGGCAGCAGACAGAGGACAAAAGGATGACCGATTCTTTCGACAACAAAGAGATGGCTCTGACAACCCAACTTGCATCGAGACGAATGGAGATACGGACGCAAGGATATCCACAAGCAGCCGACATCGGACATACATACTGATATTCCGAATATTCCTACCAAGTTTCGTACAGCCATACGAAATTGATGGACAGGCGGACACAAAACCACCTAGGCGTTCGGACACAGCAACGTACAGGCATACCGACGCACATGCATGACAGAACGGACAAACAGGCACATCGACAGGGACATCAACCCCAAATAGATACCACAGATAGGGACATCAACCCCAAATAGTTACAGATACTACAGATACAATAGTGTGGATGAAAAGAGAGGTTCATCATGTTTGTGCAGGGTATACATTGTGTATGTCACGTACACACATGACCACGTGCATGACAGCAGCGCAAGCCCTGGTGCATTGCAATGATCCATTTGTGAATTCAGTTGCTGGCTGATTCATGTGTTCTCTCGTCCCCAGCCTCATCGCTCCACTATGCCCCAACACATGGGCACCGGGATGCACCGGGGAGCATAGGAGTGCGGTGGTACGGGGCTCCAAGCCCCCAGCTACTACTTACATAAGCCCCTGATTCTTTGTTTGACCTGTTTGCGGTAAGCAGTGACTCAGTGATCCAGTGTGAGGCACCGACGATACACCACCAGTAGAGGCTTGGTTTGGACTGTCTGCTGTTCCAGGTTAAAAGGTGGACTGACGGGGACAGCACATGGTCACGTGTTTGAAGGTCAAAGAAAAGCCCGACGGTGGCAAAGAGAAGGAATCGAAAAAGAAGGAGTTGCGGCCTTACAAGTTTTCCGCACACCAGACCCGAGTGGAGTGATTCTTGCTGTGCAGAGTCTTGGTTTCTACGCACTTTCACCTCACAGTTACCTTCTTCTTACACAATAATCTTGCTTTCTAGGTTTCCATTCCCCAGGGTGCTTGGCCTTGGCTGCAACATTGCATGCTTTCTGGCCAGCAGTAGCCAGAAAATGGCTGTAGTTGTAGTTGTGGTTGGTTGTAGCAAAAACAGCAACATAGCACTACGAGGATTGCACCACGATGACTACAACGCCGTACCATCACAGCATTCGAATCAAAGCGGAGCCACGCTCAGAGGCATTAGCCAAAAGGAGCAGCAAACAGCAACCATTGTGGAAACAACAAGAACAACATCACAAACAAGAGCAACGGCCCAGCATCGACAACCACAACTAAAGACTGCAGCACCTGCGGCGACCCTCGCTACCAGGGGCAAAACAAAACTCACAAATCTCCAACCGCAAATTGCCATAATTAAAAAAACGCTGCCAAAGGGCAAATCGTGCAGCCGCTGTGAGCTGGAAAATCCCGATGCATATGTTTTTTCTGCATTTGGCCCTCTTTGTTTCCATCAAGTGCCAATGGAGCATCGGCAAGAGATAACCAGGATCGGGACAACCAAGGGATGTGACAGGCTGTACTGCAGCAACCCCGAAGTGGTTCGTGACGAAAAAGGGCTGTAGGTTGACAGCCTACAGAGGCCCCTTTAAGAGGTTCAAGAGGCAACGTTCCCATGTACTGTAGGTTGGCAGCCTACAGCTTGGTTTAGGAGCCGCAAAAGGCTGTAGGCTGGCACTAGGCTGCCACAACAGCCAGCGGTCTGCGATACAAAACACTGCAGCATGGCAGCCACTCTTAAAGAGGCTCAAGAGCTCAATGCCGCCATCCTTAGCGCCAGCGAAAGCCGCAGGTTGGCAGCCTACAGCAGGCAAAGCAGCAACATCGCCCTTACAAGCTTCGAGAAGCAACGCTCCCATCCTTTGGGCGTGGTTTGCCACAGGACACTGGCATTTTAGAAAGCCTTCGACAACACAGCTCTCTTTGCCAGGTTGTGGCGACAATGCCAGGTTACCATCCTGTGTGTCTTTCATCACGAGGTTCTTGAAAGGGCCACACGCCTGAGACTTTTGGCCCCTTTTTGTTGGCATGGTCATAAGGAGTCAGGAAGGCAGCAAGGAAGGTAAATGGCACTAGGGAGGAAGGCTGCGATGAGGAAGTAGCCAAATATCCGGGATGAAATGTTCTTTTGTGTTCCTCCTGCCCTTTTCCCTTGTGTTTTTGCGTCCTTTGTCTTTTCCCGGCTTGGCTGGTTTGGATGCAAAAGTTTCCAGGAGTTCATCTCACGGCTTCGGTCGAGGTTGAGAACTTTTACTCGACGTACGGTCGTTCGTTTCACGAAACTCGCTCATCACCTGTGGGTATCTGGTGCTGCGCTTAGGACTTCTGCTCGCCGCCGAAGCCCATGACTCAACTACTAAGGATACTAAAGGCTTCTCTTGAAGTCTCTGAATTGCCGTTGCCTTGGGCTCTCCTTACAAGGTCGTACTCCCAGAAGCCCGAGAAGAAGGAGAAGAAGCTCTTCCCGTGACTCTGCGCATGAAAGAAGCCACAGAAAGCCGAAGGAAAATAAAGACAGCAAGGAGAATTCTAAGGAAAATGCAGAAAAGGAAAATCGAGAGGTCAAGGAGCCTGATGGAAAGGTGCCTTTAGCTACCCCTGACACTGCGGCCACTCCTTCACCGCCGGACATGCTAGCAGGTGCGGCGTTCAGAGTTAGCATGTGAGCGTGCGTGTGAATCGTGAAGTTGTTCTTCCAGATTCGGTATTTGGGGCAGGCTCTGGCGAAGTTGGAGAGCAGGCTCGGATCGCTCTTAATTTCGGACCAGCGCTTTCATTGTGCATTGGCATGCTGCATTTGTTTAAAGCAGCATCCTTCCTTGGTCTTGAGGATATTTAAGGTGTAGTCGCAACTTTTGCCACCCTTGGAAAGAACATAACAAGCCTGAGGCTTTAGAAACTTGGGAAGCCGTTTGCTAAATTTTCAAGGACCAAGCACTGCAGACAATATTGGCTCAGCGCAAGAAAGACACTTGCCAGGCTGAACTTGCAGAGGCCAAAAAAAAGCGACGTATCCTGCAACATGCACAGGCCTCGGCTGCACAAATTAGCCATATGAATTTGGAATTACGCTGGCTACCCAAACAGCTGGGTTTGATTTGCAAGATTCTGCAGGCTCTAGGAACTGAGCAAGATCATTTTCCAGTAAAGGGACCCAAATGCACAGATCTGCTGTCATCCACCGAAGTGCGTTCACAGGCAGAATCTGGAATCGTGTTTTTGTTGAGACGGGCCAAGACCCTGAAAGAATCATATGTCTTCTTTTCGGAAGGCATACAAAGTGGAAACCAAGCTGGTGGGACAGACACCATAGAGATTCAACCCACCCAGCATGCAACAAACAGTGTGCACCACCTTTGCTTGCCTGCTTGTGGGCAAAGAAACCATGCCACTTGCTGATTTTGTAAGGACGAAGATGATGATGAAACTGTTGCGAAGCACCTTGAGGACCAATGTCGATTTAAGATTTAAGGCCCATGGCCTGATCTTGTGTATATATATATGTATCTATGTATGTACTGTGGTATCTACATATCTATGTAGGTAATGTAGGTTTCTGAGTTGGATCTATGTAGGTATCTATGTAGGTATCTATGTATATGTTACGTAATGTATCTATGTGTCTATGTGTCCTGCTAGTGACGCACCTGGTCGCAATGGCTGCAGCTGGTCACCACACAACTTATCAAAGGAAGTTTAGAAGTCTGTATTTCCGTTATCCGGAGCTTTGAAAGTCACTGCAATGATGGTCACAGCAAAGATTGTTACTGCAATGATGGTCAATGCAATGATGGTCGCTGCAACAACTGTCCTTCATTTTCAGATCTTGAGCTTTGAGTTTTGAAGGGAAGTCTCGCACAAAAGCTTCCTTCAGTTTTTGAGAGGTCTAGCACGAAAGCTTCGTTTCCATATCTTCAACTTGCAGTTTTTGAGGGAAGTCTCGCTCGAAAGCTTCAATTCCACATCTTCGACTTGCAGCCTTTGAAAGAAGTCTCGCACAAAAACGTGGTTTCCACATCTTCGACTTTCACTTTTTGAGGGAAGGCTCGCACGAAACGCGTTTTTGGGAGATAGCGGATGCGCAAACACGGCAAAATCGCACGCTTTGAGTTTTGCAGCACAAAAGGTGCCTCGGAAGGTGGATGGGGAATGTTTGCCGCGCGGCGGGTGCAAGACACGTGGGGCAGATCACACGCGCATCGACCCCGCACTGTAAGTGCCGCTTCAGGTGTCGTTTTGCCAACTTGAAGTAGTCAGTTTTTGAAGGACATCTCGCGCGAAAGCTTCATTCTCACATCTTCAACAGTTTTAGAAGGAGGTCTAGCACGAAAGCTTCCTTTTCACATCTTCATTTTTCAGTTTTTGAGGGAGGCCGGGAGGTCTAGCACGAACGCTTCCTTTTCACATCTTCAATTTCCAGTTTTTAAGGGAAGTCTAGCATGAAATCTCTGTTTTCACGACTTCAACTTTCAGTTTTAAATGGGAGGTCTTACACGAAAGCTTCGCTGTCACATCTTCAACTCCTGCAGTTTTTGAGGGAAGTCTCGCACGAAAGCTTCGATTCCACATCTTCGACTTGCAGCCTTTGAAAGAAGTCTCGCACAAAAACGTGGTTTCCACATCTTCGACTTTCACTTTTTTAGGGAAGGCTCGCACGAAACGCGTTCTTGGGAGATAGCGGATACGCAAAAACGGCAAAATCGCATGCTTTGAGTTTTGCTGCACAAAAGGTGCTTCGGAAGATGGATGGGGAAGGTCTGCCGCACGGCGGGTGCAAGACACGATCGGCTAGGGGCGGATCACACTCCGATCGGTCCCGCACTGTAAGTGCCGCTTCAGGCGTCGCTTTGCCAACTTGAAGTAGTCAGTTTTTGAAGGACGTCTCGCGCGAAAGCATCGTTCTCACATTTAACTTTCAGTTTTAGAGGACGGTCTAGCACGAAAGCTTCCTTTTCACATCTTCCTTTTTTAATTTTTTGAGGGATGCCTAGCACGAAAGCTTCGTTTTCTATTTTCACAACTTCAACTTCCTGAATGTGCGCACGCATGCATGTATGTGATTGTGCCTTGCTCTTTTTGATTGTTTTGTACGTATGTGATCGTGCGTTGTAGTGTGTGTGTGTTGTGGTGTGGTGCACTGCAGTACGGCATGGCATGGTATGGTATGATATGTTTGGGTATTGTACAGCAAGGTAAAGCATGAACGACAATGCATATACATACGTGCGCATGTGTATGTGGACGCATAATATATGCACGTTGGTATTCTCAAAGAATTTTAGGTGGCAGTTTTGATCTCCGGCGCTTTTGAGTGTAATGGGGCAACCGCGCATGAAGGTGGCGCCCGGCCTGGTATTGTGCGTTTGCAGTGTGCAGTGGTTGCTTAGCGCATGGTATTGCCGCGCCCAACTGGCTTCTGTGATGCGCACTTGCGTACTCATTATTTCCTCTGACTTTGTGTCCTGCTACCGCGTCGTTGCTCAGCTCAGTCGGCTTGCTGCTTCAAAGTCGCGTTTGCCGTGTGTCTGCGTGCTTGTGCTCTTCTTTTTTGCGCCCGCGCGCTTGCTCAGCGGGTCAGAGTTGTTGTGTCAAGCTTTGGTCTGGTTTGCGCGCGGCGTGAAGAGTCAAAGGACGGAGATGTCAGGAGAAAAGGGTTTCAAGAAGAAATGGCAAGATAAAGGGGCACCGAGATTGAAAGAACCGCCAGAGGCCCCAAGACGAAGAGGCGTAGAGGGACAGAATGCCAAGAGACAAGAGATGTCCAGAGAAAGGGTTTCCAAGAGAAAGAGATGTCAATAAAGAGCGGCCAAGGGAATGCGATGTCAAGGTTCAGAACTGCCAGGAGAAAGGGATGCTAAGAGGAAACGATGTCAAGAAAAGAGATGCCAAGAGAAAAGGATTCCAAGAGAAAGAGATGTCAAGGGAAGAGGGGGTCAAAGTAAAGAGGCGTCAGGAGAGAGGGATGGGAAGGGATAGAAAGCAATGCATCAGAAAGAGTTTGCCGAGAGGAAGAAGTTTCAAGAGGAAGCGGGGGCATCAGAAAGAGCTGCCTGGAGGGAGAGCTGTCAAGAGAAAGAAGACAAGACAAAGTGGTCACAGGAGATGCATCCCAAAAGGCTTTCAGCCTTCCTACTTCTTGGAAACTTCCACTGCCCGGCTGCCCCGGACCCTACTTGTAGGTATGCCGGTTGTATGCGTGTGTGTGTGCGTGTGGGGTAAATGTTTTTTAAAAAATGGCCAGGTATGTCTGTGCTTCTGCGCATATGCATGAGTGGATGTTGTGCATTTTTCTGCTTGCGCGCTTGTGCCTGTGAATGCGCATATATTCACACCGTAAGCAGGAAGGAAGGAAGGAAGGAAGGAAGGAAATACGGAAGTAAGGAAGTAAGGAAGTAAGGAAGTAAGGAAGTAAGGAAGTAAGGAAGTAAGGAAGTAAGGAAGTAGGAAGTAAGGAAGTAAGGAAGTCAGGAAGGCAGGAAGGAAGAAAGGAAGGAAGGAAATAAGAAGGCAAATAAGAAGGCAAATAAGAAGGCAAATAAGAAGGCAAATAAGGAAGTATGGAAGTAAGCAAGCAAGCAGGCGGGTAGGTCAGCAAGTAGAAAGAAAGCAAGCACTTATTCATGAATGCGTCTATCTATGTTGGCCTCTTGCAGGTTTTTCTTTTAGGCCGTCGAAGTTGTTTGTGCTACCGGCGCTGTTAACGGACCCGCCGATTTTCCTGCCTTTGTGCTTCCGCATTGCTTGTCAGTTATTACTTGCGCACGTCAGTTGAAAGTTGTGCACGAAGGATAGTCTGACTTTCTCGGGGAACCGGATAGGGTTGGCGGTGGGGGGGGCAAGGGGGCCACAACTCCGTAACGCCACACGCTCTTGATGCTACGCTGTAACATGTCTCTCTCTAGTTGAGTTGTTTGAATCGTGTTTCTATTTTCAGGCAAGTACAGGTGAGTTGAGTAGGCCGTATAATGCTGACATCTGAGAGTCGGGACTTTCACATCAATCTGCTTGCCGGAACCACTAAAATTAAAACTCTACCCAACACCATGGGCTCCCAAGAGTAGAGGCTTTTTTCATGTCTGGATCATGCATTACTCATCATAATAGCTTGTGCTGTTTGTTCATTGCATTGAAGCACACCTGGCAAATGATTTTTTTAATGATGCAACATGTTCATGGACGAAACAGTGATTTACACTCTTGAATATTAACATACACCCTGTGGTCCAAAATCTGTAAAATTGACGAACACCTTACCCCTGGGTCTAGGGTGTATGTTAATGATGATTTTGGAGTCGCGAAGCATGGAAACATTGCAAAAATTCATTAACATAAACCCTGTGGACCGTGACAACAAAATCCATGAGTCAGTTGCAATTATCCAAACAGCTCTTAACATACACCTAGATACAGAAGATACAGAAGGCCCAACCAGCCCCGAAAACTCTCCGACGACGATCAATAAATTCAGCAGCGCATTTTTTTCGATAGCCTCCCCAAAGGTGATCTCGGTTTTTCTGTTCTGTGCTCTTGTAAACTCATTTCAACGCTAGGTCCAAAAATGCCAGATAGCCAACACACTGGTTTCTACGCAAAACGTTGGACTTCTCTATACTGTTTCTTTTTGAACATTACCCTCTGGTAAATTAACATAGACCCTGGCAGATAGGGGTTGGAAGATTAGTTTTCATTGAAACTACGCTATTTTCAATGTCTATGCTAATTTACCAGAGGGGGTACTGTAGATTAAAAAGTACCAGTTGGCTAACACCCTGGCTTCTCCGCAAAGCATGGGTCTTCCCGTTGAGTAGGAACACCAGCAGCAATGAGACATGAACATTGATGTTGGCATGTTAATGTTTTAACATACACCTCATTTTTGAGCAAAAAAAATCTGAGGTGTATGTTAAGATTCCGGCAAATATGTAAAAAAAAATGAGGTGTACGTTAAAGAAAAAAACAAGGAAAGTGCACTCGAGCTACTATCATCAAGGATTGTTAACATTCTGCGAGGTGCCCTGGGAGGGGTCACGTTAAGGTAAAAAAGCAAGGAAAACGCACTTCGAACTCCTATCATCAAGCATTGTTGGCATTCTGCGAGGTGCTCTGGGAGGGGCATGTTAAGGAAAAACCCCAAGGAACACGCACTTCGAACTACTATCATCAAGGATTGTTAACATGCAGCGCGGAGCTCTGGGAGGGGTCATGTTAAGGTAAAAAAAACATATCTTCGAAGCCGTTTGGTGGTCAAACACGCGACCTTGGCAGCCATGTTGGCAGTGCCTGAACGCCGCGTGAGTGGCAAGTCACCTCCTGACAGAAATACCGATTCTTGCACGCACTGGGTACGTAATAAGATATCCAGCATGACTGGCCAGCCAACTGACCTCCAAGGAAAATCA